CGTATTGAGATAACTTTTAAACCCCGAATTATAGTGGATACTCTCAAATTCGAGAAGATAGGCGCGACTCGATTTTCGGAATTTTCTTTTTAAAGGGTTTTTGAGGTCGATCCCGGGAGATCGACCGGGATCAGTCGTGCAGACTTACTTTGTCGCCATCGCTGTCGCTTGCTGGGGAGAAAAGTGCACACCTAGACAAGGGCGGGACAAGTGCCGGGGCTAAACTTAGTCGGGCCAAACCCGACGTTCCCCGCATCCGCCGGGGGCAAAAGGAGCCGCAAAAAGGCCCGCAAGAGGAGAAACGCGAATCTGCCCGCCATAGGCTTCGTACATGGGGTATGTAGGGGGTGAGACGCAACTCTCTCCCTCTTTCTCTCTCTCTCTCTCTCTGGCTATACTTAGCATGGGAGCCGCGGTTCATCGCTGTAGCGCGCGAGGTCGCGCGTCCGCGACATTGACGGCTGTAAATTCTGGGGACCTCCTCGAATCTCCGCTGTCAGATTTAACGAGGGCACCGGGAGGGAGGGGGGGGCTGTCCGAAATTGCCAGCAATTCTCCGGTCCCGGGGCCAATCATCGTAAATGTTGCCTCGAAATCCCACCGAAGTCCCGACAAAGACGTCTCGCGGCGAGCCCGCCTTCCCCTGGGAAATAATTTTTTGCGACCTCCTCCGGCGACTGCCAATTTTCTCTAGATTCCTGAAAAATTGGTGATACCCTCCCTACACTTGTTTCGCGTCTTGATATTCTCGGGGATTTATTTAGACATTTTATTTTTTTTTTTCGGGGGGCGTTTCATTTGTAAATAGAAGTCGTGACGAGTGGGCCGGGAATCCGCGCTTTGAGGCCGGGCGGGGAAAATGGGCGGAAATTCCGAGGAGGGTGGAAATAGCAGCGAATGATGTTTTAGTCTTAATGGGAAACGGGGCGAGTGGCAGGGAAAATCATGAGAAGTAGGTCGCGGACGCAGAGCTCTCCCTCTTTCTCCCTCTTTGTGCATCGCGCCGGATATGGACGTCGGGGTGGATTATGAATTCCCGGGAAATCCGCGCGATAACGCTTACCTGTCGATAAATATCCGCGAAATATCGAGGAAATACGCGAGGCAACAGTATCCGGGAGGGTGGAAAATGTCCAGGCACGAAATTAAAAAAAGTCGGGAAATTGCAACGCATTAGGGGTGGAAAATGACGAGACGGGCGTCACTTGCAGGGTGGCAATTCTCCCCGGAGAAGTCGCCTTCCAGAGACATTTTTTCACCTGTGTATGTACGTGGGGATAGAAGCGACGAAGACGTCAGTCAACGCCGGAGGAGCCGAAAAGCGGAATTTCTGCGAGTGACATTTTCGCGGATCGAAAGACGCCCCCCTCTTGGAAGTTTCGACGAGACCTTCGGGAGTGAGACCGAAGTCGACTCGAAACGACCCTCTTTGGCGCCGGAAAATACCCTCCGTATAGGCGACTCGGCTCCAGGGGTGGTAAATGGGAAATCGAGGTCGCTGGAAACCTCTTGAGAAATTTCTTCTCATTTCGGGACCTTAATTCGTAATCGGGAATTACCGGGTAAAGGAGTTTCGCAAATCCGGAGGTCGACGTCAGTTTTTTGCGACTTTCGAGGGAGGCATTAAAATCCCGAGGAATCTTCGCCGAGCGACCAGGAGATCCTGGGATGTTCTCACGATGGGTTCACGACTATAAATAGTTGCCGGCACTTTTCAGGAAATTTCCTCCTCCCCTCCACCCTGCGGCCTGTCGCGAAGTGCAAGCTCCTTCTCTCTTTCTCCCTCACCCCTCTACGAGGAGCTGAACAACGGCAAACGATTTTCCGTTTACAAAGATTCCTTCATTTATTTCAATGGAATTTATCGCGAGGGTTTAATGAAACCGGTGCAACACCGGCTGCAATTAAAACTAATTACAGCGGTTTTCCGAGGGAGGCGCGCCCTTTAATTTTCGTAACAACCGAATTTTTGCGGGAGTTCCCAATTTTTTATTTACCCCATCCATGTCCTCTCCTGATTCTCGCCGAAGTCCTTCAACCCTTTATCCAGGTCGCGGATATTTCTATCCCCGTGCCGCAAAAGCGCGTGCGTGCGGGGTGTAATTGAAAGGAGAGCGAGCCCTTACTCGGGGGTGGTTTCCTGGAAATTACTGGAATTAGGTGTATAAACAACATCCAACCCCCCCTTGCGTTGAAATTTAATAGAGTCGGTCGCGCAAACCACCCCTGACGCGAGGGTGGTCGTGGCACGTAACAAGAAACACAATTGGTCGGGACAAATGTGCGATCGGAGGCGTAACAGGGGTTTAATAATCGAAAAAGGAAAGGTAAAGAAAAGGGTTAGGAGGATTTATTTCCGGCCGGTTCGAGAGGGCCTCGACGGGTTTTCCCTTGGCCCTAGGGGTTGCTTAACTTGGCGAGCGAAGTTAATGGCAAGGGTGTACAGCCCCCGGGGTCGCGGAAATATATCGAATATCGGAAACAATGGGCCGGGGGGCGGGGGTGGGTGGTAAGCATTAAGAGGCGCAACCCCCGGCACGGCTTCTCTTGTATCACCCTCAGGGCTTCCGATCAATTTGACATACGGAGCACCCCGTACTTGCTGCCCCGTCAATTTGGAGGTTTCCCCTGGATTCACCCCCTCCCTCGAATGGCGACCTCCACCCGCCCTGCAAAGGGGCGGAATAATTCGGAGATAATTGCCGGAAAATCGGGAGCAGGGAGGAAAAGCGCCCTCCGGAGGGCGAATTTCCGCCCCGGTTTATTTCTACCCTCCCCCGGGTGCCTTGAATCGATCCAAGGGCTCGCAAAGGTGTTCTCCGGAATGAATTCACCTGGTCGCCGGCATTGATTGATGCGACAGTTGCCTGGCAACGTCTTCTCCTTCGGGGTGCAACCCCGGGGGTACAGGACCGGGCCGACCTCGCCTGGCAACGCGCAACCCTCGGATTTTCCTTTTTCTGGGAATCCACTGCGAGGACCCCTTCTTCCCACGGTCCTCCGGCCAGTCGGAAAATTGATCGGATGACGTCCAGGGGGTGGAAGCAGGGTGACCGCCATCTTGGCGCCGACGTCACCCCCGTTTACGGGGCGCCTGACGAACGTCTCCACCTCGGGAACTCCGTCCATTAGCGTTGACGGATCTCCAAATAACGCAACATCAATGGGACCGTGGAATGGCCTTTAGGAGAACGCTTTCAGCCCATCCACGTCCCCCCTTGGAACATCCCCCAAAAAGGGGCATGTATCCCGGAGTCACCCCATCGGGCAAAGGGAGGAGGCGCCCTCGAAGGTCACCCTCGTGACCTTGCCGTATCCTCGAGGAATGCCCCTAATAATTTCCTCGGATTTCCGTAATTTGATGTCTCTTTATCGGAAGGGGTGGCGCCCCCGAGGAGGGTCCCCAGGGGGTGTTTTTCTCTCGAAAGATGCGGTTCCCGTCGACGGGAACTCGACGTGGACTCTCTCGCGGGGTCGGGATCGGGTGGAGGGTGGTGGGTGGATGGGGGGGTGGGTCGGGCGCCGATCGATCCCGGGCTGGTAAGCACCACGTGACGGGGGTGCGGTATTCGTGACGTCACCGCGGCATCCCCGAGCCACCCCTCAACCCCTCGCGACTCGCCGGCTAAACGAGCCCGCTAATTCGTTTATACTAATTGTCAAACTCTCCCGGCGCACCCCCTGCGAGCCCCCGCGACGCACCCCCGAAAATCGCCACCTCGAGGGAGGAATTTTCCGCCTATCGCCGCGTTCTCGCTCTATCGGAGCTGCGGCGTCGCTCAGAAATTGCGACAATGCCTCGCGACGGTTTATCCGTGTCATGGCTGCGACAATGGTTTTGCACGCACCTAATGACGCGGCACACATTTTTCTCGGCCAGTCTCTAATTCGGTCCCGGAGAATTGCCGAAGGAAGTAGACTGGAACGCGCGATTTCACGGTGTGTCTCGAATTTCCATCGTCGGCCAGGGTCGCGTTTCATCCCTCGTTGAGCCTCCGCGATTAAACGCTCTCTATAGACGCCGTACGCATATCAATCGATAGCGATGGCGAGGTAGGAGTACAAGTGGCAGCGTTACGGAGGAAATGTCGCATTTCCGTATCCATGGATTTTTCTTTTCATTGGGAAGAAACTCGAGAGAGATCCATGACGGAGCGTCCTCTCGTCGCTGGTCTACACTTTTACTCCGTTCTATCGATCCGCCTTGCTGTCCGGTGCCGACTAATTCACGCTCGGGGTCCCCCTAAAGACTTCGGGACCGGAGTTGTCAGCTGGGTAAAGAAAGGGATCCAGAAATTGCCCCAATTTAGGAGGCCGCCAACTTCGAGGGCGCTCGCGGCTCCCGACAATCCCTGTTAATACTTCCGTCATTATTAGTACCCCGTTTAATTTCCTACCCTGTCGGGGGATGGTATTAAAAGTTTCCCCGAGAGGCAGTCGGAATGGCGGGGGATTAAGGGTGGAATTAAGTAAAGGGAGACCATCTTGGTGGTATTCTTAACGAGGTTGCTAATGGTTCCCGGTGGAAGTTTCGACCATCGTGGTTTCGGGATGTTGGTCGATGTTCCTGATTTTTCAGACGTCATGGGGTCGGCAATGGGACCACGTGCTCGGTCACTTGGCTAAGCCGCTATCGGAGGGTAACTCGGCATGACAGGCCTCACCTTCTTAACCTTAACCTTACGTCAGCGAACCCTCGAGCAACCCTCACTTTAAGAAGCCAACCCCGTGCGGATCTTACGCGGCAATACGCGGTTATGACCCACTATTTCGCTCGGCTGCAGCGCACGAGGTAACCGGATTGCACCTAGTGCAAGACCCAGGGAATCGACGGAACAGCTGTTTCCAATTTTTACTTACCATTTTAAACTGAATTTAAAGAGCCCCACGAAGAGATGAAGATCAGGCCGGAATAAAAAGGACTTGAAAAAATATACCCCGGAGCGGGGAGCAACTTTGTCGGAGGAAATTTGCGAGTTTTCTTTAATCGTTCGTTGCAGGATTCCTATCCTGGGACAAGGACAGCTGCCACGTGGATTTGGAGAAGGAGCTGCAGGCTCTGATCGCGCAGGCGCCCGAGGGAGAAGAGGCCAGAAATGGTGAGAAATCGAGGCTGTTCCATTTTTTTTTATATATATATATAGAGAATCCCGTAAATTTTTTATTTATTAGTTTATTGAGGTATCGACAAATTCAATTACTCGTTTAAGGCGAACGTCTCATCCAGTACGCAACGGAGAACCTCGTCACGGAAGTTCTGATCCACCCTCAGACGAATACTCTTCTGCAATGTATACGCAATCTTCTCGCAAGCTTCACGAAGCACCGACACATCATCCACGCTGGATACACATTCAGTGGCAATGGTTCCTGGATACTGCAGGTACGAGTCAGCTGACGCCAGGTTTCGTCCCCTGGTTCATATGGTTCGTCGTACAAGGAATATTTTTCCCGCTCCAGGATGGAACCTTTAGTCTCGCGGACTTCCTGGATGCGTTCAGCGAGCACGAGGTGCAACGAGTACTTCGAGCTTACGAGAACAGCGTGACAGTGGACATCCATTGCGCGGGAGTTGGTGACTGGACGACCAATCGCCTGTCGAAGGAGGCATGCACCAGGTGAGCGATCGGGACCTCGAATCGAGAAAGAAATATCGAAAATAATTCTCGAGCGAAGTTTTGCTTTTTTTTTTTCTTTCTATCATGTCGATTGTATTTCCTCACAGATCCTGCAGAGTCAGGGTGAACCCCGACGACGTCCTGACGGCAGGAGTGCCGGCGATCACGAGTTTCACGACCTACGTCGGGCAGTACCTGGTTGCCCAGACCTTGGATCAGCTGATGGAGCCTTCCGACGTGGTCGGCAACATCCGCTTCAGCCATCCGACCCTCTACGTCTTCCCGGGTGGACAGGGAGACGCGGCCCTCTTCGGCATCAACGGCTTCAACATGCTCGTGGACGGCGGATTCGCCAGAAAGGCCTGCTTCTGGGACTTCGTCAGACACTTGGACAGACTCGACGCGGTGCTGGTCACCCGGATAAACAATAGCAACATCGGCGGCATGTCCAGTGTCCTGAGAAAAAAGAAGGAGATGCACGTCTACCCCCAGATCGGGCACTTCTTCTGCAACCTAGTGGTGAGTTGGCATGTCGTGTATTCGGGCACTTATCGATTTTTTTGGAGAGCGTCCGAATAAAGGAATCGTGATTCCAGGAGAGAAGACAAGCCACCTCGCCTGACGGCGACAAGGACATCGACCCTCTGATCCTGAACCTGACGGACATCGGCCAGGAGATGATGGTCAACCTGCGACACATAAGCCTACGGGCCCACCCTTGTTATAGGGACCCCGAGCCGATCAACCTATACCACAAAGTGGGGCACGGCACCCTGGACATGTACGTCCTGAGCCCCAACAAGGACAGCAGGGAAGTCAGGGAGTTCCTGGCGAAATGGCAAGCTTCGGACTCGAAGCTGTTCGCGGGCTCCCACAGGAAGGACTCGAACGTGGTGACGTTCCCGATCCAGAACCTGGTGTCGATCTGCGCTCTGCTCGTGTGGCAACCGGCGAACCCCGAAGACACGATCACGAGGATCCTGTTCCCAGGAAGTACTCCCCAGAGTAAGATCTTCGAGGGCTTCGAGCGCCTAAAGCATCTGGACCTGCTGAAGCACCCGGTCTGCTCGGCGAAGAGCCTCTCGCCATCGACGTCCCTGATGACCCTGAAGGAGAAGAGCACGAAGCAGAAGCTAGGGATCATCGAGAAGGAGTCGAAGAAAATCGAGCCGAAGAAGGAGAAGAAGGAGCACGAGAAGCCGACGAAAGTGGAGGATACTCCCCCGAAATCGACCCCACCAGCTACGACGACCCCGGTCATCCCGACCTCCAAGCCCCAACAAACGGCCAAGGTGGACCTGAAGACGAAGAAGGTGGCCGACAATAAGAAGATCGAGACCGAGGCGAAGGAGAGCAAGAAGATAGAGAAGGAGCTCAAGGAGATCAAGGAGAAGAAAGAAGCGAAGAAGGACGCCGTCAAGGTGGAGAAGCCCGAAAAAGAGGAGGTGAAGAAGTCCGAAGCGAGCAAGGTCGACCTAGAAAAGACTGCCCCGAGTAAGGAAGCCAAGCCCACGAAGCCGGAGCCGAAGAAGAAGTTCGAGACGAAGGAGACAAAGCCCCCGGCGAAGGTCTCCAAGGTGGAGGCGCCCTCGAAGGCGATCTCGAAGAGCCAGGAAAAGAAGGCAAAGCCGGCCGAAAAGAAGGAGATCGTCAAGTCCTCGCCGACGACCCCGAAGAAGACGCTGAACGGCGCGGCCACGAAGACGGAGATCTCGAAGACGGTGAAATCCGCTCCGACGACGAAGTCCATTACAAAATCCACCACTATTCCTCCTGCCAAGAGCGCAAAGGATGCGAACAATCGCAAGGTGGTCGAACAGAAGAATATCGAGATGTCGACGGCGACCACGGCGAAGGTGCCGAAGCCAAAGCCAGCGGAAAGGAAGCCGATCAGTCGCAGGACGAAGCCGGTGAGTCCTAGCAAGCCGAGGTTGCCCGGAAGTCCGTCAAAATCCACGAGGAGCACGCCAACGACGTCGGTAAAATCCGACAAGGACGGCGTCATCAGGAAAGTCAAAGGAGAGAGAGGAACGGCGGACTCTTCCACGGTATCGACCCCATCGGCGATAGAACCCGAAACTGCAGTGAAGTTGTCCGAGAAGAGCCTGACAGAGAAGTCGGAGGACCTCTCCCTAGACTCGATAGAGAGCAAGGTCCTGGCGGATTTGAAGGAGGAGCGAGAAGTGGTCGAAGAGATCGAGGCGGTTCTGAACAAGGCGGAGAGGATAGAGGGGACAAGGAAGGACCACCTTGAGGGCGAGGATGAAACCACCGGTGAGGCCACCGACAGAAAAGAGGAGGACGCGACCGAGGAGGACGTGACCGCGGAAATCGAGGATGCGCCGAAGAAGGACGACTTCCGAAAGGAGAGCCAGGAGCTGACGGAAGAGGAGGAGTACTTGATCGTGGAGAAGGAGGAGGTGTATACGGAGGACTCCGCTCTGAGTGGAGACAGCGAGCAGAAGCACGTCCTGGACAAGGCGGAGTCGGAAAAGGCGAAGGCCCCAGAGGACGAGAAGGACCTCGCCAAGGAGGAGGAAAAGGAGGAGGTGGAGGAAAAGGAGAAGGACGAGATTCCCGAGAAGAAACTGGAGCTGCTGGATCGCGAGGACGCCGGGAAGAGGTCGGTGGACCTGACCCCGGAACACAAGGAACAGCTGGACGAGGAGATGAAAGGCATCATCGCCTCGGCCACCGAGGTGGTCCAGAAACAGGAGGAGAAGGACGACGGGTCCTCCGGGAAGAAGGACAGCGAGGACGCGACCAAGGAGCCCTCCAGCTTGAGTCCCGACAAGCTGGACTCCTCCGAGAAGAAGACGACTGATACGGACGCCAAGCCGGAGGTTGACCAGAAGGACCATCCCCAAGAAAAAATGGAGGAGTCCCAGGAAAGAATCTCTACCTTGGAATCCGGAGCCACGACCACGGCTCCGACGCTTCCCGAGGACGAGAGGATCCCCTTGGACGAGATCAAGGAGGACCTCGACGAGAAGCACGCGAAGGAGGAGGTCAAAGAGAAGGACGTGCCCAAGGCCAAGCCGGTCGTTCCCCAGACGGTGCCGATCACGCCCAAACCTGAGGTTAAGGTCTTCGACGTGCGACCCGGAGTCCAGGTTCTTCAGCGCGAGATCGTGAAGACCCCGGACGAGGTGGCCGATCTGCCGGTCCACGAAGAGGTGGATCCGAAACTGTATCAGATGGGAGAGTACGAGAAGGATAAGGAGGAGAAGGTGGTCCACGAGGCGAAGGAGATCCCGACACTTCCCGTCAAGGAGAGTCCTTCCCCTCTCGCGGAACCTGCGACAACTTTAACGAAGGAACCACCCGCACCACCTGCGAAGGAACCACCTGCACCACCTGCGAAGGAACCACCTGCACCACTTGCGAAGGAACTACCTGCGCCACTTGCGAAGGAACCACCTACTCCTACTGCGAAGGAACCACCAACACCTACGGCAAAGGAACCACCTACACCTACCGCAAAACAACCACCTACACCTACCGCAAAGGAACCACCTACACCTACCGCAAAGGAACCACCTACACCTACTGCGAAGGAACCACCGACACCCACCGCAAAAGAGCAGAAAGGCGTCTTCGGGTTCTTCGGCAAGGTCGCCGACAAGTTCGAGAAGGGAATCGACAAACTCACCGGTAAATCCAAGAAGGACGTCGATAAGGACGCCGACGACAAGTCCTCTTCAAAGTCCAGCTCTCCCAAGGAGCCCAAGCCACAGGAGAAGGCTGTCCTAGAAGAGGTCGACGTCGACAAGATGTTCCCAAAAGTGGGGAAGGTCAGCGAGAAGGCGGAAACCTTCGAGCAGGTCGAACCGAAAGTGACCGAGGTCAAGGTGGCTGCCATTAAGGACACGGCAGCGTTTATCCACGAGGAGATCAAGGATACCAAGAGAATTAGCATCCCCGACGTGGAGCCGAAAATCATCGACGATCGTCGCGGTGGTGGCGAGGAGGTCGAGGATGCCCAACTCGAAGAAGAGCTCCCCGTGAGGACGGAGCCTTATACCGTCCCAGGACAAGTGTACAAGGACGAAGAGGCCATCGAGGACGCGGAGGACGTGGAGGCATTGCTGGAAGAGGCCTCGAGGAAGTTCAAGACCGTCAAGGACAGCCTGAGGGACTCCTTGGAGTCCTTGGAGGAGAGGATCGAGGAGGAACAGCTGGCAAAACTTGACGAAGTTGCTCCCGTTAAGGATACCGTCAAGGATACCCTTACCGGAGTAGCCGAGAGGCTGGAGGAGATCAAGGACACGAAGGAGCCGGAGAAGGTGACGTTCGACATCCCCAAGGTAGAGGACGAGGAGGACCTCGAAGAATACACGGGTCCTATAAGGGACGTCAAGGAAGCGGTTCGCGACGTCGGTGAGGTCCTTGCTGGCACCGCAGGGATAGAACTCGACGAGAAACCCAAGGACGTTATTGAGATCGTCAAGAAGGTTGCCGAGGTCCTGAAGGAAGACGACTTTCTCCTGGATAAACTGCCTCGAGCGGAGGAGAAAAAGGAAGTGGAGAAACCTTCACTCGAAGATCAACCGAAAGAGGAAGGTAAGTTACTCGAAGAAAAGGTCGAGGAGCCCGAGATCAAGCCGAAGGTAGGTCTCGAGGAGATCGTCATCCCGAAGAAGGTCGGCGTCACGGAAGAACTGCCTCCCCAGGAAGAGATCGAAGAGATGCTGACTACGGAACCGTCCAAAGAACTCGTTCCCTTCGAAAAGGCGGATGGCGTCGAGGTTCACGAAGAGCCCTGCGTTAAGGTCGTCAAGGATAAAGAGATCGAAAAAATTTCACCGATCAAGGAGAAGGTGGACCTGGAAGGACCTAAGGAAATTTGCGACGACATCCTGAAGGACGAGCCAGTTTGCAGAGCCAAGCGAAGCCTTGCCCCAGAGGATGCCGAAGAAGATGCCAAAGAGGACGCTGGAAAGGTGGACGTGATGGACGCGGGCCTGGAAAAGGTGTGCACGAAGAAGGAGGCGATCTCTCCCAGGATCAGCGACGAGGAAAAGGAAGAGGGAGAAATAGAAGAACCCGAAATCGTCCTTGAGCAAAAGCTCTCTCCGGGCAAGGCCGAACTCGTCACCGTGACTCCAGGGTCTACCCCGACCTCGCCCAAATTTACATCGGAAAAACTTCCCGAAGTGGACCTTGAAGAATCCATGATCCAGAAAGCCTCCAGCTTCTCGCCCGAAGTGGCAAACATCCTAAACACTGTAGGAACTGTGGAGGAGGTCGTGGAAAAATTGGTGACATTGAAGAGTTCTCGCATCACAGTGGAGATAATCGAGTACATCGTGATCGTTCGTCGAGTCTCCAGGGAGCAAGTAATTCACATAATCGAAGAAATAATCCTGAAGAAGGGCATCCCTCGCGAGAGCATCGTGGACGATGTCGACATCCTAAAGATAGAGGAGCCGATCTCTCCGCAGAAGAGAGCGGAGGTCGAGGAGTACGTCGTGAACAATTTTATCAACAGAGGGAAGCGAATCACTTTTGACCTCCTGGAGGAGATCTCGCTCCTGAAAATTGTTCCCAGATCCGCGGTCCTGCTTATCATCGAGGACATGATCCTGAAGAGAAAGATCTCCAGAGAGTCCCTCTTGGATCTCGAAGAGGAGGCGAAGCCCGAAGAGGTCCAAAAGGTGAAAGAAGTGGAGTTCTTCGACAGGAAAGAGTCGATCGGAGAACAGGTCCCGAGTAAAGTTTCAGGTCCGCGAGAGTCTCCCGAAGAGACAATCGAGGTCAAGGACGAGCCCCAGGACGAGGCCCCGAGGCTCGAGGACTTTAGGCACGTGAACGGTAAGGATGTCGAGGAGGAGAGTCTGATTGACGGATTCGTTAGTATTCCATCCAAGGACACGGTGAACGCCTTCTTGCAGGAAAAGAGGAGGCTTTCCGTTGAAGCTTTGCAAGAGGGGGCCAAAAAGTTGTCACCGACCCCGAAGGACGAAAAGGTCCACCCCGAGGTGACGGAGGTCGCGGTCGCCGACGACTTCGAGGCAGTCGAGCAGGAATACAAGGTAGGGGATGTAACCGCGACTGCGAGCCCCGGAGTGGCTGCAGATGTCGAGAAAAAGGCTGAGGAAGTCCCTGAAGAGGACCTCGAAGTTGACGTCAGCGTCGAGGCCGAGGAGAAATTCGTGAAAGAAATTGCGGGCAAGCCCGAGGAGGCCAAAAAGGTACCGAGTCCCGATGCCAAGGAAGAGGACAAATTCGAAGAGGATGCCGAAGGTAAGACGACGACCTCGGAGGTGTCCGAGGTCCTCGACGCCACGGAGAAGTACTTGGACGAGGCCAAGGAGAAGGTCGTCGACATCAAGGAGGAAGTAAAATCGTTGATATCAGGATTAGAGGGTCCTGTGACCGAGGCGAAGGATGAGGTCAAGGAAGCGATAGAGGAAGCTCAAGAGAGACTCGGTGCAGTATTGGATAAGGTCGTGGGCACCGTGGTGGAACCTCTCCTCGGAAAACGCGAATCCATATCCGAGGACTTGAAGATTAAGGATGAAGAGGGGAGGGAGGAACTGGAAAAGAAAATCGATGAGATATCAGAGGACGAGTCCAGGGATAGGATCAGTGACTCCGAAGAGAAGATCAAGGACGACGCGAAGGAGAAGGTCGAAGTTGCCGAGGACCTCGTTGAAGACGAGGCCAAGGAGAAGGTGGCGATCGCCGAGGAAAAGAAGGAGAAAGTCCCCGAAATTCCTGTTCCCGAGGAGAAGGAAGAAGTAAAAGAACATCTCGAAGAGAAACCTGCAGCTCCGAAGGAGGAGATTAAACCCATTGACGTGGAAGCCCTGGTACCGGAAAAGGAGGAAAAGCCAACAAAGGACGAAAAGGACAAACCTACAATTTCACCCGAGCCTAAAGTAGTCGAAGACGTAAAACCAGGTGACGATCAGAAGGTCGAGGTTCCTCAAGTTCTCGAAAAAACTGAAGTGACTCCTCAGGTGGCCGCGGCACCTGTTCCTATTTCACCTGAAACGAAGCTGGCTGATGCTACGGGTCGTACAGGAGGATTACCCGAAGAAGAGATGATAAAGGAGAAGGCGGCACCGAAGACCGAAGAAAAGCCGGAGCCCAAAGAGACGGCAGAGCCAAAAGTGGAGGACAAACCCGAAGCCAAACCCGAAGAATCTACAGATAAGGCTCCCCAAAAGGATCTCGAGCCAACGGTCCCTAAAGAGGATAAAGTAGAAGATGATAAAATTGATAAGCCCGATAAGGACGACGGGGTTGTTCGCCGGATGCTGGTGACAGCGACCAGCGAAGATGGCGGCCAGGAAACCGAGATCTGCACGAGTGGGTCGATCACGTTTACAAAGTCTGTCACCCCTGAAGACTCCCTCAAGGAGGTGTCCGTCAAGTCCACTCCAGAACGCGATTCCTTGATACTGGATAAGGATTCGCTGCACTCTGGACGCAGCACCCCCGAAAAAGACAGCATCTCCGAGAAGTCCTTGCCGGGAGCCAAGGATGTCGGCAAGATCAGCCCCGAAGACAGCCTCGATAAATCGCCAATCGACCGGCGAGACTCGCCGGACCTTGAAGACAGCCTAGAAAAGCCTGAAAAAGATAAGGAACCCCAGGAGCAAGAAAGGAGACCCTCTGAAAAATCCGCCGATGTGTCCCTCGAGGACAGCAAATCCCTAGAAAAGCCTATCGAAAAGGAGGAGAAGGCTGAAGGGAAAATCCTGGAAGCGAAGAAGGACGAGACTGCGGATAAATCTCTCGACAAGGAGCCCGAGAAGCCAGAGGTCCTGGAAATCTCGAAAACTGCGGAAGCGGAAAAAATCGACAAGGAAAAATCGCCAGTCAAGGAGAAAATTGAGGAAGCGAAGACCCTGAAGACTCCAGAATCCGCTCGCTCGGAAGACGCGTCTCCGACCGAGACAATTTTCGCTAAATCGCCGACTGAGAAGTTGGAATTTTATTCACCGACTGGGGAGCAAGAAGTGGTAGAAAAATCTCTGCCGAAAGAAAGTGTCGCCGACTTGTCGAAATTGCCGATTGCTGAAAAGAAGGAGGCGAAGCCCGACGAAGCTAAAGCCGACATCGCTGATTCCAAAGCCGAAGAGAAGAAAGTCTCCCCCATCAAGGAAGAAAAAACCGAAGTCGTTCCCGAAGTTACTGAAAAACCAATTTTATCCGAAGTGATAAAAGAAGACACTTCTCCGAAGGAGGCAATAAGTGCCAAAGAATCCCCAGAAGCCAAACTACCGGAAGAGGTTGTCGAAGAAAAGGAGAAATCCAGATCGCCTAGCATCATCAGCGAAGCGGCAGAAAAGGAAGTTGATAAATCCAGATCCCCGAGTATTATCAGCGATAAGGATACTAAAGAACCAATCGACGGAGCAAAATCCCCGACTATCAGCGTGGAGAAGGCAGAAGGTGTTATCCCAGATGAGAAAGTTCCTGACAAATCAAGATCGCCAAGTATTGCTGGTGATAAACTCGATGGAAGCAAATCGCCCAGTATCGCTGGTGACCAGGTAGATGACAAGGAATCAGTAAAATCAGCGGCTTCCAGCATCGTCAGCGAAAAAGCAGATGAGAAGGAAGAAATTGCTAGGTCAAAATCCCCAAGCATTGCTGGTGATAAACCTGAAGATAAAGAATTGGACGTGAAGTCTCGCGCGTCAAGCATTGTCAGTGACAAAGGCGCCGAGAAAGAGCCAGTTGACAGATCGAAGTCGCCAAGCATTGCTGGTGATAAACCCGAAGAGAAGGAACATATTGACAGGTCAAAATCGCCAAGCATTGCTGGTGATAAATCCGAAGATAAAGAACTGGACGTAAAGTCTCGCGCGTCAAGCATTGTCAGTGACAAAGGCGCCGAGAAAGAGCCAGTTGACAGATCGAAGTCGCCAAGCATTGCTGGTGATAAACCCGAAGAGAAGGAACAAATTGACAGATCGAAGTCACCGAGCATTGCTGGTGATAAACCGGAAGAGAAAGAACCAATTGACGGATCAAAATCACCAAGCATTGCTGGTGACAAACCCGAAGACAAAGATCTAGCAGTCCGATCTCGAGCATCCAGCGTCGTAAGCGATAAACTGGAAACTAAGGAACCAGCCGATAGGTCGAAGTCCCCAAGCATTGCTGGCGACAAGGCGGAGGATAAGGAATCAATCGATAGGTCAAAGTCACCGAGTATCGCCGACGACAAACCCGACGATAAGGAACCAATCGGTAGGTCCAAATCACCGAGCATTACCAGCGAGAAAGCCGACGAAAAGGAACCACTCGACGGGTCAAAGTCCCCGGATATTGCCGGGGATAAACCAGAAGATAAAGAACCTATTTCAAAATCACGAGCTTCGAGTATAGTAAGTGACAAGGTAGAAGACAAGGAGCCAATCGATAGATCGAAGTCTCCAAGCATCGCTGGCGATAAAGTCGAGGATAAAGAAATTATCAGATCACGAACATCCAGCATTGTAAGCGATAAACCAGAAGAAAAAGAGCCAACCGATACCCTGAAATCGCCAACCATCGCTGGTGAAAAAATCGATGATAAGGAACAGATCGACAGGTCGAAGTCACCGAGCATTGCGGGGGATGTACCCGAAGACAAGGAATCAATCGACAAATCGAGATCACCGAGCATCATCAGTAAACCAGAAGAGAAGGAGCCCATCGTTCCCGTACGGCCGTCCAGCATCATCAGCGATAAGGATGATAAACCCGAAGAACCTGAGCGATCAAAGTCGCCTAGCATTGCCAGTGATAAGGCCGAAGATAAGGAATCGGTCACCAAATCGAGACAACCCAGTATCATCAGTGATAAAGGGGACGAAAAGGAGTTGGATCGATCGAAGTCTCCCAGCATTGCTGAAGACAAGTCCGAGGCTAAGGAAGCCAGGTCTCCAAGCATTGCTGGTGATAAACCCGAAGACCAAGAGTCAGTAATTAAATCCAGAGCGTCTAGCGTCGTCAGTGAAAAAGCTGAAGAAAAGGAAGGAGTCGATGGATCGAAATCACCGAGCATTGTTGGTGATAAACCAGTCGAAATAAAATCTCCAGCATCCAGCGTGGGCAGTGATAAAGCCGACGATAAGGACGCTGCAAAGGTGTCGGAGCCACCAAGCATTGTCGATGAAAAAATTGCTGAGCCAATTTCCAAATCCCGATCACCGAGCATCGTGAGTGACAAACCGGAAGAGAAGGAACCCGCGACAGGTGAAAAATCACCAAGTATTGCTGATGATAAACTCCAGGAGCCCGAAATTATCGAGAAGTCAAGATCGCCGAGTGTCCATAGCGAAAAGGCAGCGGAGACAGTAGACAAGGCCAGATCTCCAAGCATCGTCAGTGATAAGGAATCTCCTGATAAATCTCTGGATAAAATAAGCCCTACCGGTACCGTTGCCGAAGAGGCAGAAAAATCACCTGACAAATCCGTTCCCGATAAGACCAGCGACGTGTCGGAAGATAAATCCCGTTCTCCAAGTATCGCTGGCGATAAAATTACTGAAACCGAGGTGGTTGAAAAATCACCAGATAAATCTCGCTCAGCCAGTATCGTCAGCGATAAAGTAGAGGAGAAAGGGTTGAAGAGTCCCGAGCAATTGTCAAAGTCGCCAAGTGTGACTAGCGAAAAAGGATCCATTGAAAAATCAGCGGACATTTCGAAATCACCGAGTATAGTGAGCGACGTCATCGATGACGATGCTTCGCGAGTACAGAAATCGATAGCCGAAGATATCGATGCCAAAGGTCTCCTTGAAAAACCTGAAGACAGATCGAGGGCCTCCAGTGTTGCTAGCGATAAAGTGGAAGAGAAGGAATCAGCGAAATCATCGAAAGCTCCAAGCGTTGCCGGAGATAGAATCGATGACAAGGAGGAGAGTGCCAAGAGTGATAAACCCGATGACAGTAAATCTCCCGATAAGGAGTTGACCGTCAAATCCAGATCAGCGAGCATCGTCAGTGATAAACCTGTCTCTCCAGTTCCTAGTGATAAAGTTGATGATAAGGAATCTGCGGAAAAGTCAAGGTCTCCCAGCATTATCAGCGACAAGGCGGAAGAAAAACCGGACATGTCGAAGTCCCCAAGTATAGTCAGCGACAAGCTCGTCTCTCCTGTCCCTAGTGATAAAGCCGATGATAAGGAATCTGCGGAAAAATCAAAGTCACCTAGCATTAGCAGCGACAAACCAATTTCTCCAGTCCCTAGCGAGAAAGCAGACGATAAGGAACCTGCGGAAAAATCAAGGTCACCTAGTATTATCAGTGACAAACCAATTTCTCCAGTCCCTAGCGAGAAAGCAGACGATAAGGAACCTGCGGAAAAATCAAGGTCACCTAGTATTATCAGCGACAAACCAATTTCTCCAGTCCCTAGCGAGAAAGCAGACGATAAGGAACCTACAGAAAAATCAAGGTCACCTAGTATTATCAGCGACAAACCAATTTCTCCAGTCCCTAGCGAGAAGGCAGACGATAAGGAACCTGCGGAAAAATCAAGATCACCGAGCATTATCAGCGACAAACCTGTTTCTCCAGTTCCTAGCGAGAAAGCTGACGACAAAGAGTTAGCATTAAAATCGAGGTCTCCTAGTATCATAAGCGAGAAACCCGTATCGCCAGTTCCTAGCGAGAAAATTGATGATAAGGAACCGGCAGTGCACTCAAGGTCTCCCAGCATTATCAGTGATAAAGCCGAAGAAAAACCGGATGGGTCGAAATCCCCAAGCATCGCCAGCGATAAGCCCGTATCTCCAGTTCCTAGCGAGAAAGCTGACGATAAGGAGCCAGCAACAAAATCAAGATCAGTTAGCATTATCAGCGACAAACCCATTTCTCCGGTTCCTAGTGAAAAAGTTGATGATAAGGAATCGGCAGTGCAGTCAAGGTCTCCCAGCATTATCAGTGATAAAGCCGAAGAAAAACAGGATGGGTCAAAATCCCCGAGCATCGCCAGCGATAAGCCCGTATCTCCAATTCCTAGCGAGAAAGCTGATGATAAGGAGCCAGCACCAAAATCAAGATCACCTAGCATTATCAGCGACAAACCCATTTCTCCGGATCCTAGTGAAAAAGTTGATGATAAGGAACCGGCAGTACGGTCAAGGTCTCCCAGCATTATCAGTGATAAAGCCGAAGAAAAACCGGATCGGTCGAAATCCCCGAGCATCGCCAGCGATAAGCCCGTATCTCCAGTTCCTAGCGAGAAAGCTGACGATAAGGAGCCAGGAACAAAATCAAGATCAGCTAGTATTATCAGTGACAAACCCGTTTCTCCGGTTCCTAGCGAAAAAGCCGACGATAAGGAACCCGCGACAAAGTCAAGGTCTCCGAGTATTATCAGTGACAAATTGGAAGACAAGGAACAAGTGGACAGATCAAAATCCCCGAGCATAGCCAGCGATAAACCTGTATCTCCAGTTTCCAGTGAGAAGGCCGATGATAAGGAAGCTGCGATAAAATCAAGGTCGGCTAGTATCGTTAGTGATAAAATTGAAGAAAAAGAACAAGTGGATACGTCAAAATCCCCGAGCATTGCTGGTGATAAAGTCGAGGACAAAGAGTCCATCGCGAAGTCTTCAACGCCCAGTATCGTCAGTGATAAATCAGAAGAGAAGGAGCAAACTGATAAGGCAAAATCACCGAGCATTGCTGGTGATAAGCTTGAAGAACACATTGAGGAATCGAGATCAAGGTCGGCGAGCGTTGTGAGTGGAAAGGGTTCCATCAGTCCCCCGAAGCCTGAATCCAGATCACCCAGCATAGTCGATGATAAGACGGAGGCGAAGGAACAGGTCGACGGAACGAAATCTCCGATTTCTGAAGATAAAGACGATAAGGTCACTGATAAATCCCGATCGGCAAGCATCGTCAGTGAAAAAGCGCCGGAAATCGAGACAGCTCGCGAATCTCGGTCTCCCAGCATCGCTGCTGATAAACCTGCCGACAAAGAAGCCGCAAGGTCCAGATCATCGAGCATCATTAGTGACAAAGAAGCAGATAAATCCGCTGATAAACCTAAGTCGCCTGCCGAGCAGGACTCGGCTCCAAAATCGGAGGCGAAATCCTCTCCCGAGGTCGCCGATAAAACCGAAAAGACTGTCCAACCTCCTTCCGAGCTAATCTGTGATAAAAAGAAGTCGATCAGCGAAGATAAGATAGAAATCGACGGAGAGAAGAAAGCAAGTCCGAAACTGGATGAACCGAAGTCGTCCGTCCTCTCCAATGGCGAAACCGACCACGTAACCGCGGTCGAGGACGAAAAGGACGAAGTTTCTTCAAGTGCGACCAAGTCCAAGTCCCCGGAAGAAGTTCCTCAGGCCAAGTCTTCGGCAACCGAAGCGGAAAAGGATAAGCGCAAGGACTCGACGGCAGAGGTCGAGGACGACAGGACCCCGAAAGATGGCCGATCTCGATCGCACAGTCTTTTCGACACTGGCGAAAAAACACCTCTAGGACGATCCAGAGCTGCGAGTTTGTTCGAGGATAAAGTCCCTGAGAAACTGGCTCTCCTGGAAGGTGTCAAGGATGTCTTCGACAGGAGCATCGCTGATAAAATTCTAGAAGAAAAAGACGAGTCCAGGTCCCAAGCTGGGTCTAGAAAGGTGAGTCTCCATGAAGAAGAGTCAGTTCGCAAGGACTCCGTCTCTTCGAGAAGAGCCAGCGAAGTGGTCCCCAAGGATGCGGACTCCAGGAAGAGTTCCATCAGTTCCCAAGCCAAAAAAGAGCCCGAAGTCACGTCCGCCAGACGGGAGGAGATCGAGAAGTACATAATCGACGAGTTCCTGATGAAGAAGAAGAAGATCACCATCAAGCTGCTCGAAGATATCCTGACGAAGATGGGGGTGAGCAAGTGGATCATCGTGGAGATCATCGAGAAGATCATCGTGACCAGAAAGATCCCACGAGAGTCGATCATCGAGGACGAGTCCGTGATGCAGGTGGAAGATGCTGAAGAGGAACCCGAAGACGACCTGAAAGACGAGGAAACGATTGAAAAGGACTCCGTCGTTACTTCCCGAAGAGGCAGCGAGGTCCTCAAGGACTCAAGCTCCAGAAGAAGCTCCATCGGCTCCCAAGCGGAGGAGGTGGAAAAATACATAGTCGAGGAGTTCCTCACGAAGAAGAGGAAAATCTCCATGGAGCTGCTCGAGGAGATCCTGACGAAGATGGGAGTGAGCAAGACGGTGATTATCCAGATCATCCAGAGGATCATTCTGACGAGGAAAATCCCGCGAGAGGCAATCCTCGAGGACGAGTCATTAATCTTGGCGGCAGAAATCGAGAAGAAAATTGCCGAGGCCGCCGCCACCAGAACCCCCGATCCTAGTCCAGATTCTGGAACGCCAGGATCGGAGAAATCCACCAGAGGAAGTCCCGAACGTCCCGAGCCCAGGATCGAGGAGGAAGTGTCGATCAGCGAGGTTCAGCGCTCGGAGATCGAGAAGTTCATCGTCGAGGAATATTTTGCGAAGTCACGAAGGATCACCGAGGAGGTCCTGGACGAGATCGTGAAAGTGAAGTCGCTCCCACGGTACATCATCGTGGAGATCATCGTGGAGACGATGGCGAAGAGAGCCCACAGGCCGTCCATGGTGGACGAGAGCATCCTGAGGCCCGAAGACCACGAGGACTACTTCAGCGAGGCCTTTGGCAAGTCGGTCGACGACAAGTTCCAGGACGTAACAGGAAAATCCACCCCGGAGATATCCTCCGCGAAGGAGCGCACCGTCGACGTGTCCGGGAAATCCACCCCCGACGCGAAGTCCTCGCTCCTATCCGAAAGACTTTCCGATAAATCAGGATACTCGTCCCCGGACATCCGTCAATTCGACGACTCCTCGAAAAGTATTCCGGACTACAGGACGGATTACGAGAGCCAGTTCCACAAGGCGTTCGTCGAGGGGATGACGGAGATGAGGACGACGCACATCACGACGTTGTCCGGGAAGTCGACTCCAGATTTAGGAAGAGGTGGAACCCCAGAAGTCGCAGGACCACCGGAAACATCCGATTCGACGACGACCATCCAGAAAGGAGCCGAGGACGTCATCGAGAAGACGAAAACGGAAGAGGAGGAGGACGAGGAAGAGTCCCAGGTGATCAAGATCACCAGGAAGCACGTGGTGGTCGAGCAGGAGGAGCCGGAGGTGGTGACGAAGGTGATCAAACGAGAGGTCCTTGTCGAGGACGACGCTGAAGCAGGGGGACCGGAGACGGTGAAGAGAATCGTGAGCCTGGAGGGCATCCCCGAGATCACGGAGACGGTGACCACGAGGACCACCAGAACGATCATTACGGAGGAGGTTTCGGAGCCCAGACCAACGGGGTCCGAAATAGAGAAGCCAGAACTGATCACCAGGGTGATCTCCGGCGAAGGGATGCCGGAGCTCGCGGAGACCATCACGAGGACCACGAAGACGGTGGTCTCGGATGCCGGGCCGGAGTACGTGACCAAGATCATCAGCAGAGAGGGCACCCCGGAGATCGGAAAGTCCGGGGACGTGAAGAGGATCGTGACGACGGTGACGACGGTGACGGGTCCCGGAGGCGAGGTGATCACGAAAAAAGACGTCGAAGAGAGTAGCGACGCCCTGGCCAGCGAGGATCTCCTGGAGAAGCTGATAGACTCGTCCCAGGTGGAGCGAATCGCCGGCAAGATCACTCCAGAGTCAAGGACCTCGGAAGAGAGATTCGTCAGCGAGACTCCGGAAGGTTTGAAAACAGAGGAGATCATTAAGCGCACCGTGACAACGGTGACCTCGACCTCGGGCACCTCGTCCCCGGACGTGAAGACGTACTTCGACTCCGGCAAGTCCACGCCGGATCCGAAGGACAAGTCCGAGGGTCCGAAGGACTCCGCGGGAAAAATCGAGAAACCGGAGTCCTCCTCTCCCCAGATTCGCGATTTGATCTCCGACGACAAGAGCTACTCCGGGAAGTCCTCTCCGGACGTGTCCCTACCGAAGGACATCGTTTTCAGCGGCTCAACGGGTAAATCCACCCCCGAAGTGCCGATGTCGCCGCTGATAAGAGACGGGGCTGCGGTGCAGCCTCACTTATCGGGGAGGTCCACCCCCGACAGAAAGTCTGAGGGCAGGTCGTCAACGGCCACTCCCGAAGGGTTCCGGTCCGGAGATGTCATAAGAACCATCGTGACCACCACGAGGACCATCTCTGAGGAGGGAGAGATTATCACGACCACGATGGAGGTAACGGAGGCGACGAACGAGAAGGGGGAGATCGTGATCTTGGAAGAGAAGACGGACGTGAAGGTAGACGACAGACTGCCCGGCAAGGAGGCGCAGGAGTCCGTCATCGAGGGCATGAAGGCCTCGGAGGATCCGAAGAGGACCTCCAGTTCCAGTTCCGGCGTCCCTAGCGAAAAGGTGGAACCGACGAGTCCTAGAAGCGACTCCCCCATGTCCACCGCTTCTCGCTACGAAAGCTCCTCTCAACCAACGTCTTCAGCAAAGGACTCGAAAAAGCCGGTGGAGTTCTCCACGGCAGCCATGAGCAGCAGCGTCTACGGAGAATTGCCTCTGGAACCGCCCGAGACGTCCTTCGGGGCGCCCAAGAGCAGCGAGCCCATCCCCATCCAGGGCGACTTCTCCTTCAAGAAGTTCACTGTGGAAAAGGAGTTCGCCGGGGGGTACATCGGCAAGTCGGACCCGAAGAAGTACGTCGACGAGGCCGACCTGGACTTCGACAAGGCCCTGATGGAGAAGGACGCCAAAGTGGAAGCCGGAGCCGCAGGAGTCACCAATGGTGGCTTGGGTCAGGGTCTCTCGGCGGACCCGAAGAAGTCTTCGACCGACGCGAAGGACTCGAAGGACTCGAAGAGCGACCCCAAGAAGGATCCTCTGGACGGCTGGGGATCTCCTCTGGGTCTGCCCTCTCCGGAACCGCCCAGGAAGTTCAATCTCCGCAACGCAAACCAGTCCGGCAGCTCCGGGGACTTTACCCCGGACAGCTTGAACTTTGACTTGAACGACTGGGGCGAGCCTCTGCGTCTGCCCTCGCCTGCCCCCCTCGCAAACGAGGTCTCCAACAAGGGCTCACCCGGAACCCCGAAGAAGGAGCGCAAGCAGCCCAAGAGGGTCGTCTCGGAGAATCTGAAGAACAAGAAGAGGTCCGAAAGCCCCAACAAGATCGACAAGAAGTCGAAAGACTCGAAGAACAAGGTTCAGCCGGTTTACGTCGACCTGACCTATGTTCCACATCACGGGAACTCGTATTACACCTCGTTGGAGTTCTTCAAGAGGGTCCGTGCAAGGTATTACGTCTTCAGCGGCACCGAACCCAGTCGGGAGGTCTACGACGCTTTGCTCGAGGCGAAGAAGACCTGGGAGGACAAGGATTTGGGTAAGTTTGGACAGTCGAACAAATATACCCCTTTCTTTTTCATTCTTAGAGAATATTTCGGGAACACCCCGGGGGAAAGCGATTTATAAATACGAAACCGTGTCGCTGGAAACTACGTAGATTTTACTACAGGAGAAAAATCCGTGGTATTATTCGCAGAGGTGACCATGATCCCGACCTACGACACGGACACCCTGGGCTACTGGGTCGCGGACAACGAGGAGGCCCTCGCGGCCAACCACATCGACCTCTCGCCTTCGGCCTCGAGGTGCACGATCAACCTCCAGGACCACGAGACCAGTTGCAGCGCCTACAGGCTCGAGTTCTAGGGATTGGCGGCCTGCTCAGCCGTCATAGTCGAGTTCTGAGCCGCGAACGGACTCCAGCCCAACCCCCGAGAGGACCTTTCGTAGGTCAGGGTCGGTCCCGGCCCGTGGCTCTCTTCGCATCCGGCGCCGATTTGCCCGGATTGGGGCCGGATCCGCTGGCGGTTCCCCTCAGGGTCGCCCTTGAGTTCGAAAGTCGGAAAGAAAGGACCCAGGGCCCCCTGATCGGGATCAGGGACCTGGCTCCTCTGGAAAGGCAAACCTGGCTGGACGTCCAGGTACGGTTGAGGTGAAAGAGGAAGATCCCTTCAGGGGGGGTCCAGGAGCGACCCTGAGGAGCCCTCGCGCTTCTTTGAGTCGCGGCTCGGGATCGGGCCCTTGTACTTTAGAGAGATTATTTATTTAGGATTTTCAAATTCCCGGAAGCAATGTAACGAGGACTCGAAGAGTCCACTCTTCGACCCATCCTTAACCTCTGGCTCGTCCAAAGCGCAAATCGAATTGCCGAAACGACGGCCGCGGCTCTGACGGCGCCAGGTACCGATAATATACCTGGGATCGATAAGCGGCATTGGATTTCAATGCCAGGATATCGCGGCGAAGGTCGAGGTTAAGGGTGGATCCTCGTTAAGGACGCGTCTCCTTTGAGAGATGTACAGAGAGGTCGACGGAGCGAGAGGTCGACCCAGGCAGCGATAACTCGGAAACGTCTAGTGATAACGACCCGACAGGGTCGGGAAACGTCCCAACGCGAGAATTAGTCCTTGCCAAAAGGAGAAAAAAAAATGTAACGCAAAGGCGACATTCCGCCTAGAACTTAAAAAATTCCCGGAAACAAAGGACGTACGAGGAAAAGAAAATCAAATTACTCCGGATTAGTGGTCTCCTCGACCTCAAAAGTAAGAAGTAAATGTCCTTTCTCGAAAGTAAATCCATAGATATCCCGCGACCACGGGCAGAAGGATAGCCGAAAAAGTGGTCCTGCGTTAAGAGAGTACGAAAAAAAAAGAAAGGGAGAACACGTGAAAACTCGAAAAAAATTATAGCGAACCGAGTGGCACCTACGTCGCCAGAAATATCCATCCAAGGTGGACGATGTCCGTACACCTAAAAAAAGAGAAAAAAAAAATGGTATTTAATTCCGCCCGATTCCCCGATGGTCCCGGAGGCCGAGTCCTGCAGGAAGGTCCTTCGGTCCCAGCTTCCACCGGGACCGCTCTTCGAGATCTCCTTTCGTCCGGGATTCTTCTTTATTTTTTATTCTTTCTTGCAAAGGACCGGACTCCTGGAGCGAGTCCTGGCCTCGGGGCCATCGGGACTCCCTTGGGCCTCTCCTAGGACGAGAGAAAGAGGAGTAGGAAACCAATTACGCAGAAAATTACGCGAAAAAGAAGGGGAGAAGTGGAACTCGGAATTGCGACGACGGTGGCTCTTTCCTTTGGTTTTCGTTCCCCTCCTTTTTTATGACGTACTAGCGAGTAGCCAGACAGAGGGCGACCGAACTTTTGTACTTAGTCCTTTCGCCGGCATTTTCGATATCGTCGTCCGAAAGTGCGGGGAGGGTCGAAACTCGAGAACACGATATACGTCGCCGGTCCCCACGGATCTCGGGCGTCGCGACGTCAAAAGTGGGGAAAAAAGAATTCCAAGTGAGAACCTAAAGACAGAGAGAGACCTTCGTTTTTACTTCTACGTACACGTACCTTTTTTTCATTATTCGCCCGAATTTCTCTGGGAATCTCGGTTCGGCTTGCTGGCTCCCTTCGGTTCCTCGTATCCGCCGTTTCCTGGTTTCCCGCACCCCCCCGCGAAGAAAAGAGTGCGCACGATAACGCGTTATCACCTCGCCGGTACCGTCTCTTTTAATTACCTCCCTGTTTCCCCCGCGTTTCTTTCTTCTTCTCGATTGTCCCCTGTTAATCATTCTGGATCTCGTGGATCGCGATCTCGCATGAGCTTGCCTCTCGTTGAAGCACGGATTTTTATCATATACGCAGATAGTTAGTACGTACCTAGAGATTTTAATGCGCGGTCGGGTGCGCGAAGAGGCGCGACGTCTCCTCGCGGATTCTCTGCGTATTATATACGTGCGCTTTCGGTGCGTTCTTTAGATCGTTGACGACGACGACCACGCGCGGAGATTACGTTATGCTACCTAGTGCCCTACGTTCAATTGCACGTGTATAGTATATATTTATATACATATATATACATATTTATTTATAGCGCCGGGAAGAACGCGCCCCTCTTCGCGCGCGCCGACTCGCGCGGCCGCTTGAATGTTCGAGCTAATATAATTAATATTAAACAACGCCGCCGGCATAACGCGATATATTAATTTTTTCCCAACGCCGAAGGACTCCCCGATGGCGAGAAAAAATCCACAGGGGCGCGTGATTATTCCTTTGAGTTTAATTTAATTATTGAAGCGAAGCGGTGTGATAGGGCGCGGGGTATCTCGCTATGCGGACGTCGTCGTGCAAGTGGGATGATAAGGGGTGATAAGGGGAGAGGAGAGAAGAGAGGAAGTGATGGAAAGTATGTCATTGTTGTAGAGGATAAGGATAATCCTCCACGGTCGGGAAACGTCGAGGAATATCTTTATCGGGGAGAAATAGGGGATCGATCGCGCCGATGATTATTGATAACGGATCGTCAAGGGGCCTCGATAAGCCCGGATGGTGAGAGAATCGCAAAATGGAGGATTTCTAACGAGTAAGTTTTTCTACCGCCTGTTTTTTGTCCCGCGAATCGCTTCTTTCGAAATTCCCCGCGAGTCGAGTTATCGCGCTCTTATCATTTCCCAATATCCTGAGGTGATTGTAGAGTCTGTATTTATTTCTCTTCTTTTTACGCTTCCGGCCGTACACACCAGGTACTATACACACTCTACGTACATACATCTATACATATTATATACATACACGCGCGTGCACGACCACTCTCGTTTATGCTTAAGTTGACACGCTAAGTGATATCCTACTTTAATAGATATATAATATATATATTATATATTCTATGCGTATTATATATAATATATATATATACTTTTTAATAGAGTGCCGGTGATTTATGAATGACTATAATTGCGATGCAGAGTAAGCGAAACTTCGCCCGACTCGAGTGAACGAATCGCTATGAACAAACTAATGCAGTAAAAATTATGTACGTATATACATAGATACATACATCCTCGCGTAAACGCGAACACCGATGGAACGTTATCAGCCGTCGTTATCACCAAGGATCGTTGTATGGCTTTTAATTAAAAATAGATCGATGTACCTACGTACGCGACACTTTGTCATTAAAAATGGTACTTCGAGTCGGGGCACTTGCTGGGCATGTTACCCCTCACGAAATACCGCAATTACATTGGATTTCAAGCTGGGGGTGATAACGATTACGCGGAGTATGTACCTGTGTATCTATGTATTATTTATTGTAACGAGAGATTGCGCAGGAGGCAAACGATTTAAATGGGAGAGGAGAGTAAAAGAAAAAAAAAAATATATATAAAATGACCAGCTATTTAGGTAGGATGTTAAAATTATGAAATTAAAGTAAATTAATGATCGATGGGTACCAAGAGGGAGCCGGGGGGTGGCGCGGCCGAAGGGGACGGGAGATGCGGAGCAGAACTTATTATATTATGCTGATAAATTTAACAAAGATTTAATGAAATTAGGAACGAGCTTTCATGGGAGATATTTAGGGAAGATGCGAATGGTGCGAGAGAAAGAGAGAGAGAGGAAGGGTATTCAAGAGAAAGAGATAAGAACGCTGATATGGTAAGGATGCTACACCTGTACGAACCCCCGAATATCGCGGTGCGTCGGGGGTGGGGACGATGAAGTGGGAACCCTTTAAATTTGTCATTGTTAACCGGGATTATTGTTAAAAGTCGTAAGGAAAATGGATAATAATATGTACGTGCAGGGGGACGCAAAGACACAACGACTTGAGATCGCGGAAGCGACAGCCTAAGCAGATTTAACTTCGGCTTAAGTGGATTTTCAACCGACAGTATTTTTGCAATGATAACTCGATAATTTGTTGGTAACTTTCTTATTTCATCCGTATCATTAATCTGTAAAAGCAGAGACAAGTGGATGTGTTTCCTTTTTGTTATATTTGATAGCGGGGTGTTGTTTTTATGGAATTGTTGGTTTACGGGAGAATCTAGTCAAACATCGTAGAAGACTATTGCTCTAATTATCATCTAGTCAATTGAGATTTCTCTTCCCGACCCTTCATGGTTCCCATCCCCCGAGATGTGGCGACGCAACGCATTTTCGAGTGACGAATTAAAAACTTACAGTGGAGTGTTCATGGTGCTATGATTATTATTATAGAAATAACAATGTTATGCTCTATATGATAAAAATAATAATATAATAAAGTATACACTATACCTTAGAAGGAAAAACAAAAAAAAAAGAGAGAGAGAGCGAAACGAGGAGAAGAAATTGGAGCCACGACTTTTGGTTGCTAATATTGCCTTTGTTTCCTGCACGTGCCCTACAAATACAGAAGTAACTTCTGTAGACTAAGTAATTAAATGCCACTACCTATCGAATGAACGAATAAACTTGGATATGTATGGAAGACAAATAAAATTGCTGGAAAATTAAGGCCTGGCCAGAGATCAGTTGGGAGATCGCGCGATCTTTCGTGAGGGGTCCATGACTTTTCAGCTGGTTTTCGTGCTGCCCAGGCGTCGGCGAATTTTTTTAGCAACTGCGACCACAGGACCTGGACGAGGAAGGTTCTTCTCTTCAAATTGATCTCTCGAGCGAGTGGCTGCGATTTTTTTCATATCGGAATATCCGTATTACCCATTCGCTATTGCAGGGCCAATTAGACTCGTCCTCCCCTCCGGTACCTTTCTTCGTGGAGGGCATCTGAGAAGTCTCATCGTAAATTCTGTAATGGTAATGAAGAAGACGTCGAAGAACCCAGTCACGGACAACCAGGAGGGCAACCGTAAGGACGAGGACGCCGCAGACACGAGAGAAGGAGCTGATGTCAAGACCAGACAATTTGTTAATATTCTTTTAAACGACCTCGTGAACTTATGTACTTGCGGTACCTGAAGTATAATGAACTGTAAAATAATGAATGCAATAAAGCAATTTATTGAACAATAACAATGAGTATGTTTAATTAAACGAGCCTGTCTAGCGAAACCTCCAATCGCCTATTCCTGATCCTTGAAAATCACTCGTGCCACCTCTTCGGTTATCCTATGATCCTGTTACGTATCGGAAATTTCACCCCTAAAATTTTTGCCCGGGAGAAATTTCGTGCCACCTCCTCGGTTATCCTATGATCCTGTTACAAATCGAAAATTTCAACCCCTAAAATTTATGCCCGGGAGGAGCTCCGTGCCACCTCCTCGGTTATCCTATGTTCCTGTTACAAATCGGAAATTTCAATCCGCTGCTTTTCTCGTTTCTTCAGCTTGAGACCTTGTTTTTTGGCGTCCTCGTCCTCACGGTTGACTTCCTGGTTGTCCTGGTTATCCGTGGCTGGGTTCTTCGACGTCTTCTTCGTTACCGTACAGAACCCTGTTAGAGAAACCTCGAAAATGTCAAAGCTAACTTACGAGGAGGAATTAAATCAAATATAGTTTATTCATGTCGAAAGTTTCCGGTACAATAGAGACAGCGAGTAATAGAAAAAAGTTTACCGAGCGTAGATATTACTTATTACAATAATAAGTGGTCGGGGCAGTAATGTTTCGTAAACGACGTAATTCTCAATTGATAGAGCTGTTGCGGAGTGATTATACACTTAACGTTGTTACAGACTTCACATTCGTATTCGGCTTGACTAGCATATTAGAAGCATTAACCTTACAATTAATCGGATTAATGGGGATAGACAACGAAGCACTTCGTGGGAACGTTCAATTATAATATATAAAAGTAGTAAAAACGCGTTTAATAAATTAGATACACGGAAATGTACAGGAAGCAATGACACGTTATTGCTGTTGGATGATCCCGCGCGCGAGACTGATTTGCGGAAACGTCAATTGACGGTTAAAAAGAATTAACATCGAAATTCTCACCGTTTCGTTTGAGACAATTAGGTTCCTAAATTTCGTCAGCCTCCGTCGAAAAGGGAAGAAGAAAATCAATCTAGCTGCAAGGATCTCAAAAGGGAGAAAAATCTGACGTAAAGAGGACTCGATGAATGACAAGAAATAATGTATACAACTTCCAATAAATATACGAGGTTTACGTAAAGTACAGGTCGCTTACTTAGTAATTCACCACGTCTCGTACAAAGTACTTAAAATAGAGTCTAGGCTACCTTTCGTCCTACTCTAGAATTTGAATCGTGATTAAACGCCCTACAAATTTACGCGGTTATAGAAAAAGTAGAGAATACCATTTCGGAGTCGATCTCGAGGAGGGAGACAAATTAGCCCCAAAAAGGGTTACCCAATTGCATGACGGTTACCGGCAAGTCCGGCCCCCAAAGAGCACTGTCCTTTCTCGCTTAATTGCCTCCCTTTATGACGGTACTTCCTCTGGATTTATCTCAGCAACGGAATGACCACATTTCCGTGAACTCCGCCGTTAAGGACTACGATGATTGGCGTACTCGTCGCAACAATGCCCCCCACCTCGGAGCCGACCCCCTCTCTACAACGCCGCTAGTTTTAGTTAATAGTATGTCATTATTGTAGACGTTCACGAAATCTCGAAATACTGATTAACATACGTTTACTTTTTCCTCCCATCGTCCCTTTAGATACCAAAGGTGACCTAGGTCACTTTATGATCCCGCTACTCCGTTCACCGTGGCGGCAGTGTTAAGGATGACGGTCCTACATTTAATGATAAATGGTCCGAATGAACATCGAGGAATACGAGGGACGTATATAAATGTTTCTGCCCACTTGCGAATGAAATAACTGGTCCGGTTACCAATCGCGAACCTAACGCTACCGAAGGAACAACCCTGAAGAGGGCGAATTCTAAGTCGTTTCTACCGATCGCCCCCGATAAAGGAATCTTTTTTTTTTTCAACGTCGACAATGAACTCTCCAAGTGGGCAACTTCGAACGTCTGGATACCACGGAATAATTTCCGGACAAGCCGCGACCGCTGATAAATACTCGGCACACATGCTAAGACGCGTTCTATACGAAGAGATACAGTTTTTAAATATCCACTGTCAGATATCCCGGTGAAATAAAAAAAAAAAAAAAAGAGAGAAACCAGAGCCGCGATCGCCGTGTCGAATTTGTACGAGTCCGCTACTCTCGGCTTCGTCTGCCGAGCGAAAGGAGCGGATCCAAGTTTCGTCCTTCCAGTCTGGATCACGTTTAGATATCCCGGATGCACCCGCGACGGCATTCCGAGTCGTTCACGATGCGGTTCTCGGCCAAGCGATCTTCGCGTCGATGCGCTTGAACGCGAAAAGGCAGTGGGAGATTTCCTGAGGACACTCGTGATCGCCGAGCAGAGTTTCTGAAAATTCCGGTGACGCGTTAGGTTCCTCAAGCGGCTAATAATCGAACGATACGGGAACAAGTGGCACCACTCGACCGATTTCGCTTACCTTCCCCTTGCACCAACTTAAAGAGGCCGTAGTCCTGAGGGTTCGTGCACCGGGTCTTGTGCGCCAGGATCCGGCAGACGTCCCTGGTGTTCATATTCGGCCGCACCGGAAGCGTCCTCGTGTTCAAGGAGCCGTGCAATTCATCCGGCACGAGAACTCGCAGGACAGAGGAGCAGTCGGGAGTTCCGCAGCCCTGAAATCCCGGAAAAGCTGGAGCTACTCGCAAAGGCGATGAAATACGCAACATGGAGGCCGAAGACTTACGTTCAAGGTGGACATGGTGCCCTGACTGATCTTGAAGGTTTTCAGGACGTGCACCGCGCTGGACAGGGTCGTCAGGTAGTAACCTCCTTCGCCAGTAAGGAGGGAAGGATGAAGAAGACCCCACATGTACTCGGCCTCGACCTCGGCACCGACGACCCTTCCTCGGACCAGAACCCAGACGAGCAATGGTAGAAGATCATCGGCGCCCAGCGTCACGTGACGTCCGGAATTGGCATGCTTGACCTGAAACCATCGGAGCATTGGCACACCTTGCGACCAGGAACTTCGACCTCGACCTGGAGACTTACGGAATTGAAGATGGCAGAAATAGCTGCCAGGAGGTTCTCCAGCTTGTCCAGGGGAGAGTCCGCCTTCTGGAGTCGGTCGATGTACTTCAGGATGCAATCCAGACTCGATTCCGAGGGAGGAATGATTTTAGGCTGCGGATGAAACAATTCTTAAGCTTTAATCTAATACATCGGCAGTGTTCAATCGATCGCGGATTATTTTAATTTCCAAGTCTTCCTAACCCGAACTCCAAGTTCCTGGATGTGCTTCCCGTGCGCGTGCTGTATGCTCTCGGCAAGGGTGTGCAGAGATCCCGTGGCTGCGTAGTGGTCCACGAAGAGCCTGTAGACGTGCTCTCTGAGAGGTCGCACGACCAGGCCCATCATGACGCCTTCCAGGATCGCGTCGAGGTTCAAGAACTCGTTGGGCTTCAGCTTCAGTCGCTCCTTCTCTACCTCCTTCTCGAACTCGCGCTCTCCGTGCTTCACCAGGTAGTTCTTCATCCCCGACATGAACTGCCGCATGTTCCTCATGACCACGTGGGGACTCGCCTCCTTGCCTTCCTTGGTGCACTGGATGAAGTTGTCGATGTTCTGGGAGAACGTGGTGGTCTTGTCGGCGGCAAGTTGGAGAGCATAGGTTCTGATCGTCGAGCCGGTTCCTCCAGCCTCCCGGTTCCTCAAGGCCTGGAGCCGTGGAGGAGCTGAAGAGAAAAATACGCCCCATTATTTTTTCACAAATTATACGTTCTCCACTTGGAACCAGAGAATGCAGGATGTATGAGAAAATGTACACGAAGACGTCCATTACGAGGAAATTTATATTCCGCCATCCCGATTCACCGGTTAAGACCCTCTATCCTTACTCTTAAGGACCACGACCGATCGCTGCAGCTTCCTGCACAAGTCCTGGAACCACGAGCCGATCTTCTGGAAAACTCGCCGAGTCTTCACGCAGAACTCCTTCCTCTTCGTGGAAACCTCTACCGAGCAGCTGAACATCTTGGCCCTCGTCATGTAGCTCTTCGGAAATCCGGTCTCAGACCCTAATCACGATTTCCTTTCTCAAGTCGGACGCTTCCTCGCATCCCCGTCGAAGATCAGGATTTAATCCCGATCGCGGAAATACGAAGTATCCCTCGACGAGCTTCGCCTCCCGATCATCGTTGAAGCTCCATCACCGGTTCGATCGGTCCCGTGAGAAAAATAAATCCTCGCGTACTCCCCTGGAGGTGGATATCAGCGATACTTCGTTGATATCCTGCAGATGTGTTTGAGGCCCTTCACCGTCATCAAAATGAAAGATGGAGCTCCCTCCAGGTCCAAAACGTCGCAAAAGGTCTTCCAGGGGGTTGCGCTTCGGTCCACTAGACTCGACTCGAACGTAGAAAGTTCATGGCAGTCGTTCTTCACGGGAAGCTCAAAGTTCTCTTCGGGATCTCTTCGGCTAGACGAGGCGTCGAGGCTCGTCCACCGACAACTGACCAACGGGCACTGGGGAAGACGACTCTCTTAGGAAGGTAGTCGACACAAACGGACGAGAGTATCCGTGTTGTACTTTAGAATCTGGCAGAGGGGACAATGCGTAGCAGGCCGCGCACCGAGAATGACAGACGGGGATAATCTTTACAAACGAGCACTCAGGTACCCGGAGTAATAAGTCATAACCGGCATTATTGTCATGTTCATATCGCCGCTTTCAAAACAAAGCTACGCGACACCGTACCACGCCTTTCCACTCACCGACCACGAAACATCTACCCAACGTCGGTAGCCTGAGAAAAACCACGGTAAAAAAAAGAACTGCGATTAAATTCACGAAAGGACCTTATAAGCTTCTACGGTCCTAGGCTGGCTCAAGCCGTCTCCGTCGAGCTTCATCCGAAGAGGATGAACCGACAGTTTGCGGCGCTCGGAAAGAATCCGTATCTGCTGCGTTTGCTCGAGCTTCGGATAAAAGCAAAGATAAAACTAGACCTCCCGGCAGGGATCCTGAACTATGCCTGAGGAATTTGTACCCAGGCATTCCCAAGTACCGCCACTATCGTAGCTCGACATATCGAGGGGAAATCGGTTCCATGAACTCGTCCGTCACTTTCTTCAGCCCAGTTTCCTTCCACTCGCTCCCGTGACCCTCGCATATGTCCATCTCGCTCTTCCACTCACCGACAGGCGTACTTCTCTGGAAATGTGGGTTTGCGTGCCCTCCTCGGTATTTATTACGTGCACACCATGTTCTTCTATCTCCCCAGGCAGCCAAAGCCAAGTTCACACGAGGACGAGGGTATCTGCCAGCGGTCGTTGTTCCCCGATGATACCGCGATGATACGAACTTGCCAAGAATTCCGAGGAATCACGCTCGCCTCCCAGCGGCAGGATGATTCGTCCTCGAGATTGTCCTGGTTAATGCAATTTGGCCGAGCTCCCATTCTCCGTAGAGGTTACATTCGTTTGTCGAATTCTTCGGCTGGTCCCTTCGGTGAAATCCGGCGCCAGGCGGCGATGTTCGCTCCCGGATCGCTTCTTCGGCCTTTGTCTCGGGTGCAGCCTGGTCTAAGACTATTATTAAGCGCGATACGAGTCGGAGATAGCGCAAGGTCGGCGGGTGCGCTCTTAAAATCGCTTAATCTTCGCTGGGCATCGATAACTAGGCGGAGGGACCTCGCTTTTCTTGAGATAAATGCCACACGTGCGGCGTTATCGGGAGGAAAAATTATTCGATGGGTCATCGAGGCGGCGGTATCGTCAAAGACCTTGTCGAAGAGACTATTGCGCGATGCGTAGTGATTTTCTAGGATTCAAGGATACGATTCAATTATCCGGGACAAGGACTTACATAGAAGAGGGTCCAGGCGCTCCTTGAAGCTCTTGTTCCTCTTCATCCTCTCCACGTCGCTCTCGTCGGTGTCTATCGTGGTCTCCCACTCGGAAGGGTCGTACATGGGGTCGCCTCTCGTGTCGGGGGTGTCGATCCTCTCGTTCCTCTTCTCCACGTTGTCGTAGGAGGAGTTCCTGTCGCTGTTGAGCGACTCCGTGGCGTCTGGCGGCTTCAGCAACTCAGGGTACCTGCGGTGATCCGGAAGAGCGATCGTTAGAACCAGAAATCCCAGTTTCTCTCGTTCGAGATGTAAAACGATTAATTAAGACAGAGCTCGAACGATGAAACGGTCTCGAATCGGTGATGTAACCAATCTGGGAACGGGCTCTCGACACGGAATGTCAATAGGGAGGTCAGTGGTGACGCAAGCGCGCCGTTTCTCTAGAAAATGTGGCCTCACGCTAGATCTCGTCCTCGCCTAAAATCATTTCTATTATTGAAATTTAAACGGTACCGTTGAAGAATGATACTCTGGACGGTCAGTGTGTTCCCCACGACGTCCTTCTCGCGCTCCTCGTCGGGGAACTTCCTCGCCACGTTGTCGCCGTCGTAATCGGCGTCGCAGTCGTAGTCCGGCTCGCACTCCTCTTCGTGTCCTTAAAGGAAGAAGAAATTCACGGTCGAGCTTACCATCGAGGTAGTTCAGCCCTTACCTCTGGTGACCAACATACCGATGAACTCCCAACTGGAATCCACGGCCCAGGAGGTGTCGTTGAAGACCTTGGCCCTGACTTTCGGAGGCTGCACGGGTTTGGCCCTGGGTATCTTCTTCACCTCCCTGGAGCTCAATCTTTTTGCCAAATTGTCCACCGACGAGGATATCAGCGGCGTCTTGTCCTCGGTCTCCTCCGACTCTTCCCAATCGATCGGATGCAGCTGGTTCGCGTTGTTCCCGACCGGCGTCTGCAACCAGCCCGGTTCGCTGTGTCGGTACTTGTTGGCCGCGGGGTTATTTCTGGGTTTTCTTCTGGGTATCATCGCCGCGCTCTGGGCGATCGCGTCGGCAGGTTCCGCGTAGAACGGGCTGCCTTGCTTCGACTCCGGGGTCAGCGGACTGTTGTTCTCCGACTTGGCAAGCATCAAGCCGAGTTTGTTCCTGGGTGGCGTCACGGTGCTGGGACTGTTCAGAGAATTGGCACTGCCTGCGACAGAGGGAAACGTTAATTAGGAGGGGGACCGACAAAGGTCCGAGGACCTTTCTAACCGCTTAGGATAAATGGAGTATGAAATAAATGAAGAATCCAGGTCGCTTACAGACTCTGGAAAGCAGATCCGGCCTTTTTTCCATCCCCGTCTCTTCCAGGGAGCCCGCGTCGGGACTCTTCGGGTCCAGAGCCGGCTTGAAGCTGCTGAACTCCGGACAAGCGGTCTCCTTGTAGCTGAGTTTCTCGTTGCCGACGCACTTGTCGTTCCTCAGGATGAATCTGTCGTTCCTGAGGACGAACTGCTCGGGGACGGTCAGCCTCTCGTTGGGACACCTCTCGGCAGGGCTGACGATCCTCTCCGGGCCCACCAGCCGGTCGTTGGAGCTCTTCAGCCTCGTCTGCGGGGACGTCGGCAGATCACAGCGCAGTAGTTTGTCATTCGGCGACCAGGTAGAGTGGTTGGACTGGTCGGTCGTGTTCCAGATGTCCTCGTAGTCGGAGATCTTGTCGCCCGGGGAGCTGCGGTAGTACGACTCGAGGATGTCGGACTCCTGGTAGTGCTGGGAGTTCTTCCGGGCCTCCCGGTCCCTGCGCCTCTTCGACTTGCTGGTGCTGGATGGCGTCGTCGGCGAGAGGACGCTCTGGCCCTTCAGACCTGCACCGGGGACTAGCTTCGACGTGGGGGACAGCACCGGCGTCGTCGGCGACAAGGGCGACTTGCTCGACAGATTCGACCCCAGGGACTTGTTCGACGTGGCGCTCTGGGGACTCAGCAGGGACGAGTTTTGATCCGAGGGAGTATTCTGCTGCGGAAAAAAAAAAATCGTGATGACTCTTACCGTCCACCTTGCTCCTCTCTTCGAGGTCCATCGGCCCAATTTTATAATTACCTGCGAGTTGGTCTCGCTATTCTGGTTGACGTTGAACGTCACCGTCGTGGTCACCGTGAAATTGTTCTGGCTCTGACTGACCCCGGGTTTCGCCCACCTTGGCGGCGGGGGCGGAGGGGTTTTCACGTTTTGCGTCATACCCTGGCTCTCCAGGATGACGTTCCTCACCTCTGGAAGGATCGGCGAGTTCGCGCTCGAGAGGTTGTTGAAGTTGGCGAGGTTCTGGTGGAACGTCGACCCGCTCGAGGTGAATTTGTTGCTCGTGCTCCTCGAGAACTCCACCAGGGTGCTCTTCGAGGTCTCGACGATGGTCCTGCTGGTCTCGAAGGTGCTCCTCGCCACCTCGGCCGGGCTCAGCACGTTGCTCTCCACGTTGTGCACCACCGGCGAGGGGCAGCGCACGCTCTGCACCAGGTTCGGCGAGATCAGCTTCTGCGACAGCTTCTCCCCCGGTGACATCCTCTCCAGGGCGTTCTCCTTCCTGTCCAGCGGCTCGTTGAACGTCGTCAGGTTCAGCGTGTTCGGCGGGGTCGGCCTCGGCTGTCTTGGCAGCGACGAGGCGAACGTCGACGTGCTGACGGTGTTCGTCGGAGAGGTGCTCACTAAAAATAAGAACGCTTTAAGGACGTTACGCCCGACTCGTGTTACCAGCGACGCTGCCTGCGACTTCTTTCCACGGAGATAAATCCATCCCGACTCGGGATGAGAAACGAGACCTCGCCCCCTTCGCAATTTTATTCCAGTCTCTCCGGCCCCTCCACGAAACATATCCGCGAGACGTTTAACACCTCGAGCAAAAATAAATCATTTGCGATAAATAAGAAGATACATTTATGACCGAGTTTTCTCCGTGCAGAGGACTCGCAGGGGATGACTTGAGCTCGAGATCCCGAAATACCTACCATGTTGAGAAATCGGTGCCAGGTTCAGAACTATGCTCTCCGTCGTCGGGGTACCGGCAATGTTGTTGTTACCTGCGACAAACAATCGTCATAAATGCGCAAACCCGATCCAGGGATTATCCGTGGAAGACCCGGAAGTCACCCTGACGATTCGGTACCGGCAGTGGGACTTAAGGGCGACCCGTGATGAATTTATACCGTACAAGTTGGGTACCCCCCAGCGTGGGGGTGGATTATGCCCTAAGCCGACTAAGCTGCCGCTCAGACCACCAGACTATGAAAGTAAATCAATCCCCGGATCTGGCACTGGCTAGCCTTGCAAAAATACGTGGGAATCCGATTGTTTTCTAGAATCCTCGCGGGGCTATAATTTCTTTTTTTTTTTTTTTTCTGAATCTAATTTTAATTTTTTCTACCAGGGTCCAGTCTACAGATCGATTTAATGAGTCGATTAAACGCGTATCCTCACCGCCATGGAAACTGCTGATGCTGGAGGTATTGCTGCTGCTGCTCTCCAGGGGCTTCGGGTTCGCCATCGGATACCTCCAAAACTCCTGGCCCAGCAATGCCAGCGACGAAAGTTGCTGCCTGTTCTTCGCCTCCCTCATCGCCCTCGGGAGAGTGAGTTGCACCGGCAACTCGTCACTGCTTGCCAAGGAGTAACGACGGCGAGTTGAGTTCAAAATGCAAGGTCCAGAAAGTACCCTTCAATACCCAAAGTACCCCAAAATTCTTATTACTCCCGATAAAGCCCGATACGAACATATCCTATGAAACCACCCTTCGCGGTTGTACATGAATACTCGTGTACAAATTTCAGGACAGATATGTCCGAATCGGGCGCAAAATCCACCCCCCTCGAAATTCAATCCCCGGAATTTTAATTAATCCCGGGATTGGTAAACGGTCCTCGTTAAATTCGGTTTAATTGAAAAGGAAATTAAATAAAGCTACCTGCCGGGAAAAATACCCCACCGCAGTAATTATGCACCCCCTCTGTATACATGCATCGTAGTAAAAAGCCACGTAAACGGCAATTGTCTCGCGGTAGTAATTTACATCCCCCCCCCCCCCCGCGTTTACCCGGTAGCGGAATTACGATCCTGGCAATCACCGCGACGCATAATGCGTTTCTCCGAGCGCGCGCTGCGTTATCACGGTGCCCTGATAACGCGGCTGGGGGTAATGGCGGATCATCGAGAACGGGGCTGCGACTCACCAGCACTGGGAATAGTGGGCGATCAGCGAGGGGATATTGTCGAACCTATTCTCGCTGGTCTCGAGGCTGAGCTTCCCCTTGTTGGACTGGATCAGGTAGTGCTCGATGTAAGGACCCTTGCCGGTCGGCAGCCTGACGGAGAGGGCCATCGTGTCGGTCTGGCTGGACTGCCGGACGACGAAATTCTGCAAAATGATAATCAAAGTCAAAATCGAGCCTCTGACAATTTTTTTATTAATTTGTCCATGAGAGGAAAATTCCGGAGCCGTTTCCCGGCCGGGCGGAATTTTTCCGCGAGTCCGCCGATCCCGGAAGGGAGAGTCCCGCCGTGCAATTTTCCGCACTTCGCGGAGTACCGAGAGAGAGAGAGCAGGGCGGGGGCAATGGATGAGGGGGTGCGCCTCGTCTATGGAGAGTAATTGCGAGGAGCATTGTTTTTCGGCTCGCCCGCTATTCGCCCGTCCCGATGAGCCGGCCCGGGCCCGTAACAATTAACGAAGCTCGAAAACAATGAGCACCCGGCGAACAATGCCGCCGATGGCCCGCCTTCCACGTTGGCCCATTCACCGGGCTTTTTCCCCGCTGATTACCGCGCGACTCTTGCGCGCTTATCAGCCGGAAAAATGTCCCCGAGCGTGCTCCACGATATGGGTTTATTATTCGCCCGCGGAGGGCATTCCTCCAAAAATGGGCGAAAATATGTCGCGAATATGACCCCTTAAAAAATAATCGGAGGAAGGAAACGGATAATGACTATCGATTCGATGTACCTCCCCGGAATAAAAAAAAAAAATTGTCCCTCGATTTCGGTAAGTGCAATTCAGCGCGAGCGTTCTCCTGCCATTTCGCATGTGCAATGCGCCCACAATGGATGTACAATGGATGCGGAATGGCGCATGGATGCCGTTGCGAAACGTTTCCCACGAATGTCGGGGAAACGCTTTCGCGCTCGTTATCGCAGGCAATGGCACAGTTTTCCAAGCGGCAGCGGGAGAGATCCGACAATGTTTTCAAGACGGTGCGCATCGTTTTGCATGCCTGCAATTAGACTTGCACGTTCCGCACGCGCGAGTACGCCCTCCAAGTGAAACTAACTCCGGCTTTTTACGTGCAGTCGGTTGCCTCCGAAGTGCGCGTAGGTATAAACAGGAGAATTAAGAGAAAAGGGGAAACCACGGCGCATCTCCGCCATCTTGGATTCTAGTGCTATTCGGATCGTTGCGGATCGCTTTTCAAGGATTTATCCGAATCGGGAGCAAGATAGCGCATTTTCCCCGTAAGCGATGCGTGCGTTCCGCCGGCGATAGCCGCATCCGGAACGGTGCGACGCTTCCGAGAGGTGCATCGGACAATTGCGGGTAAATTGTCGCGAAACAATCGCGGCCATTCCGGCGATTAAGCCGAAGAGCTCCGGCGTCGATTGCGTGCAGCCGCGTCAGCGGTCGGGCAAATCCCCGCGTCCTATCCGTTGATAGTTTAGGGTTAACCTCGTAACGCGGGAAAATTCATACCGGTGCTCGCGGGAAAATAAGAGAAAAAGAAAGACGGCGGATTCGGTCGAGGCTGCCAACTCCGCCGAGAGGATGGTCCAACTTGGACATCCAAGATGGACGCCCCCTCGGACGACCGAAGGACGTCGACACCGCTACCCGTCCGCCGATATTTTCGGAGTAAAACATGCCGCGATCGTAAAGCGGATTTAGTCCGGAAATTTAAGACCGGCCATTGGCTCGCCGACCGCAGCTTTTAAATTCCGCGGTGGCTTTACGGTCGATCGGTCTCCGCGGGCCAAGGAATAAACGTCCGCGAGCCCCGCGATGAATGGAGGTTCCAAAAATCGAGAGGAAAGGTAGAAAAAGGTTTCCCTTAGGAACGCGCCTCCTATTCCCGAGGGGATCGGAAAAATCGGAGGCAGCCATCCTGTCCGCCGTCGCGTTACCCGGCGTTCCGGAAAATGGCGCGGGGTTTAAGGAGGCGGTTAATTCGTCGGACGTCGGGACGTTAAAAACCGCGAGATCCGGCAAGAAATCCCTCGTGGTATATCTCGCGCGCACGCGCAATGCCTCCCGATCGGAGGCTGGCGACCCGCCAAAGATCGAACGCTCGTATATCACAGGGCCGCGCCGCCATTACGTTTACTGCGTATTAAACCGGCCAGCCTTGCCAAATAGCGGGCGCGTCGGGAAATATCGTGTCTACTTAACCGTGGACGCCACGATACACCGGAGACCGCTTCGTTTGCGCCGTTCGTTAGCCCCGTATTTGCCGTGGTCCCGTGGTGCTCCGTTTGAAATTCAAATCCCGCGCGCTCCCCGCCCGACGCGGTGCACGCTGGGAAGTGTGGAGGTTTATTCCTAACTATATCGTTAACCGTATCGTTTCGACCAGTGAATTAAAAATGAAACGGACTCGAAGATGACTCACCCCTTCCTCTTTGCCTTGCAACAAGTGGAAAGCACCGGCCCTCTGGATGCCCGGCAGGAACCAGATCGGATGAGACCGAATCAGCCTCTCGATGAGCGTGATGTCGCAGGCAACTTCGCCGCCGGAGTCCTCGGAGGAGCCCGAGGACTCCCCGGAGGTTGCCGAGGCCCCGGAAGAGAGCGACTCCTCGCTCTGAAATGGGAAAATCGGGTTAATACGAGCCGATACTCTTGTTCCCGGCGGTTCGGGGTCGGGACGCCGCGGGCAAGATGGCGATCGATCGGCCGCGGCCCTCCACCTCGCATCGGAAATTCGATCTCGTTCGTTTCCCGGGGTCCTCGACCGCCCCGAAGGGTCCATATCGAAGCCTGGAGTGGCAGGAGACGAGCGGTCCCGTGCACCCCGGCTTTTCCGCAACCCTCCTCGGAAAAGTCGACGACGCGTCTAGACGGCCGACTCGCGGGGGGCGAATGGCAGCTCGCCATTCCCAGGCGATGGTCACCTCTCTCCATTTATGCGCCGAATATATTCCCCGCGGTCGCGGAGATTGCGTCGCCAGGTGCGAGCTCGGCCAAATGTCCCTATCGCGAGGGCCGATTGCGCGCCCGGCTTTATGGACCGAGCCGAGAGATAACATAACCTCTTACCGTCCGCCCAGGGTGGAGTTAAAGTACAGGACGGACCGAGGAAGGTACGGAGGAAGCAAAGTGGCCAGATAAGCGCCGAGGGGGGAACGAGGGACGCAATTGGAAAGCCGAGTCGAGGTCGGAGTTCGCGGAAGTACCAGCCTTAAAGTCGCGGAATCGCTGCTTCTCCAGCCAATATACCGGAAAACGGGACTCCAATTTAACTCCAACCCCTTATCGCCCTCTTTTTGAAACTTCCTCCGCGTGAAAAGAAAAACCTCATGCGACTCGAAAAAAAATTGGACAAATTGAATTTTCAAGAAAATCGCAAATATTGATCTATCCACGTTCCGGAAAATCGGGAATTTCGACCCGGGGGGTGTTTTAATGGGATCGCGGCTTTAATTACGACTCCACGGCAGTTCGGGGCAATTAATTTTCCATTGGCCGGTGAAATTTAGTTGCACGGTGGCCCGCCAGCCTCGCCGCGAGGAAAGGGTGGACGGAATCGGAGAGGCTCGCTCCGGAGGTGGGAAATATGGAAATTTCGGGCGAATCGTCCCTTAAGCCGCAATTCAGGGACGTAAATCCTCCCTCGGGGTCGGTGACAATACACTCTAATGCCGCATTATATTCTCATGGGGTTTACGCGCGGGCCACGCGGGGTTATCTCAATTTGCAGCCGATGGGTACTCGCGATTCGTTTAGCCGGACCTCTTACATTAAATTAGATATATAAGAAATTAGCTCGAGAGCCGGCCTGCATTTTCAATGGGGTTTTTTTTATTGCACCAGCGGCCCTGGCGTCAATTTGATCGATGGTGACCGATCGGATCCTTTCGAAACGACCGAGCGCGCCGCTCGACGATTTATCGGGCTCGAATCTTTCTCTTCGTCTCGCCGAACGATCCCCGTAAGAGAGATTAGGCCTCTGATCCGTCTAATCGGGGCGGGCCGATCGCTCTTTCCAATAAAACCCGGGGATAAAAATTACAAACTGCCCCAAGGAGGCGGCGAAAAAAGTCGAGGTTCTTCCCGGCCGAAAATGGCGAGGTCTTTACGCAAATCCCGAGCGGCGGTTTTGTCGGGCCGTAAACTCCTCGCGACGGGTCATTACTGGATTCGCAATTAGCTCCTGCTCGGCACGCGTCGCACGTTCGCGTTTAATCCCTTTAGTCGAAACTACCGCAGCGTCAGTCTGCATTTCAAATTGAATCGCCGCCTAAACGCGAAACGAGAGCTCCGCAGGAAAGATAAATTCGAAAACGCCCGATCGGCGTCGCGACGTCGAAATCGATCGATATCTACGTATCGACGAATCGTCTCCTCACCTGTACATGATGTAACTGCGTAAGTTGATGATGCTGAAGAGGGTTCGGTGGCGGCGTACTCGGCGAGCTGACGACCTGCACGGTTCCATGCTGCTGTAGGTACGGTTCGAGGAAGACGTCGCTCCTGAAATAAATCAGAGACAGCGTAAGCAGCCTGCAAACCGAACAATAAATACATGCGCGAGACACAACGTACACCCCCGGCGACGGGGAAAAATTCCCAACTCCAAGTTTTCCTGGATTTTCGAGATAACTCCCCCAGCAGCCGATATGATACATTTTTTTAAATCTCTTGTAACGCGTCGGCGTAATTAGTATTAAAGTATGGAGAAAACCCGAGGTAATTGGGAACTGCTAAGGGGGTGCGGGAAAAATTCATAAGGGCGAAGGGATCGGGAAGGGGTCCCGAGAAACAGTTGTCACGTACAGGGTGTCTAATTAAGTCGCCCCTCGTCGAATCGCGGGAGATAATCGAAAATCATGTCGCGGGGCGACACGGCGGAGGGGGTTGAAAAGTTCGCGGGGGGTCTCGAGGGTGAAACCGTATTTCCGAGGGCGCGGAAAGCTCCTCGATCGAGCTCGAGAAGGGATTCGATCCGATCCAATTAAATCCTCCGCTGCTCAAAATATGAGAAGATAAAAAAGATAACCGACAAAATACATTTTACGCGGAGAAACACGGGGGATGGGGAATTATTCCCGTTTCGTGCTTTCCACCCCCGGCCCGGGGGAATTGCAATCGGGGTAACGAGGTAATGCAAATCGAGGGAAACCGATGACCAAGAGAGAAAATTGCGGGATGGGAAAAAATCTGGAATTTTTTTCGGGGCCTTCCTGGGGGATGAAAAATCCACCCTCGGAGGAATCTCGCGACGATCCTTTCCCCGAAAAGAAGACCTCCCCGACGGGACTATCGCGATCTACAAGGCGCCTCATTACGCTCCCCTCGTCGAGTCACGCGACGTAATCGAAGATCATGTCACGAGGTGACACGACCTGTAACGGGACGCTCTCTTTCTCTCTCGCAGTCGTTGTCTCTCCCTCTCTCCAACCTGGGAAGGTTCAAGAGCAATATCCCCTGCACGGTGCTTGCAGCTCGATAAAAGGATTCCTCGCGAGGGGTAATCAACCGTTCGCTTGCACGATGTCAAATATTGACTCGAAGGGAGCTCCTCTCTTAAGAGGTCTCATCGTCCCCCAAGATCGAGGCGATCAAATATTAGAACATTTTCAACGTTTTCGGGAACACCGACCTCGAAATTCGCGACGCGACGGGTCGCGATCGAAGGATCCGCAAAGGGGCGATTTTTGCTCTCGGGGGAGGTTTAAGGGCGTTCCGGGCGAGCGGCTCTAGGGAAGGGGTGGCATGCAAAACTGCGGGGGGGGCCGGCGAGACGCATTGTCCCCGTGCGTTTGACAGTTGACATCCTTCCTCGCGGTGGCGAGCGCGGCGCTGCCGCGGCCGCGTCGGGACGCCGCCCGGGGGGGTGCCGGCCCGTCTGCGAGATCAGATGGGGGTTGCCATGGCGATGGGAGGTTCTCGACACGTGGCCCGGGGAAGCCGTCGATGGCGGCGCGAGGTTTACGCATTAACGAGCAGCGTGCACCGGGGTGCAGCGGTATTATGCCACGGCCGGGGCAAGGAAGGGGTGGACGTCGCGGTCGGGTCAAGCCTCTGACCTCGGAGAGCGCGGGTGGCGAGGGGAGGGAAAAGAAGTTCGCTTCTTTTCTCTCCCTTTATCAGGAGATGGAAGGTGAGAGCTGCACAATATGAGAGATGATAAATAATAAAGGTGGAAGTGAATTTGACGTTTGGAGATCGACGAAATGGGGGGCGGGGGAAATGGATCGAGATGGTCCTTCAATGGCTTCGAATGTCTCCTGATAAGAGGATCGGGGAAGAGGGGAGGAATTCTTTTCCCTCCGCCGGGAATCCCGAGACGGGTTTGTCACCCTAAGCCCAGACTTTGCTCGGGGGAGGACGGAGCAAGGAAAGATGCTCGCTCGGTCAAACATGGCGGTCGTTCTGGTTTCGTATTCAAAGCGCGAGGCTTCCCGAAAGCAATTCCAGACGTCCGCCACCTCGTTACGATTGGAATGCAGCCAATCCGTCTCCGGTCCCGCGGAAATTTCACGCCGACGATTCAGGGGTGCGATCGCGAATCACGCGTCTCCTGGCCCCGGAGAGAGGTTAAGTCCGCGCCAAGGAAACCTTTCTCTTCCCCTACGGTAAATACCCCGGACAATTGCGACTTCCACCGAAAAGGGAATTTCCTCAAAATAGAATCCTCGTAAACTTCCGTCACGCGGAAAAAGATCGGAGGAATTCCTCGGTGAATTTTCTCCGTATTTTTCCCGACCCCGCCGAGCCGTGGAGATGCCGAAGAGAGGAGCTCTTCATCCGCCAGATGAGGAAGGCGAGGCGGAACGAGCGGTAAAAGAGTCCATTTAGTCTCGGAGGCTTAGCTCGAGTCCTGTTTTAGCGAGTTTAGCAGGCTGAGCCTAGATTGACACAGCCGCGGCTTCGGATCCGCAATTACGAGCCGTGCCAGAGATATTAAGGTCGCGGCGAGAATACATCGGCGTTGCTCCAATTATTCGGCCCGCGATCGGCGACGCGAGATCGTCTCGTTATCGGGCCAGGAAATGCGGCTACGAGTCCGAGAGGATTCGTCGGGGCGGAAGGAGGTTAAAGGTGAAAAATGGCCGAGCGTTTCCCCAACTTTTCCAATTTCTTCCGGAGCGCGATTAAGGAGGCCAACTTTTCGATACGGTCTCCCTTGGCGGGCTTCGTCACGGGGAAATATCGGGCAGGGTGACTCATGGTGGACGCCGGCTCGAAAACAAGGCTCTTCGGGGTCCTCCTCCAGGGGCGATCGGATTAATTTCATCCGCCGCGGAAGCAAACTCCTGGAGGACTTCCGGATGAATCGGCCGGAATCGCTCCGACGAACCCATGGAACCCCCGACCCCATATTGACACGGCAAACACCCCGTAAACGAGGACGTAGCTCCAGCTCGAGGCAAACGGCAGGTTTCGCGGATCGAGGCGCAAACTCGAAAGAAAAAAATGAGAACTCCTCCCGGCAACGCGAGGAGTGAAATTTCTCAAACGACCCCGCCACCCTTTATCGGTACTCCCGGCAGAGTCTCGCGCCAAGTGCATTTTTTCGCGGCTCGACTCCACCCAAGCGTCGGATAACGTATCCTCGCGTGGAGAGACCCGTAGCTCTGCTGACTCGTCGGAAAGGAGGAAACCCCGCTATCTCTCCGCCTCGGAATTTCGGTACCATTCCTCGTACCAACCCACGTTAAACGAGAAAGTTCGGGTGCCCGTTCGTCACGCTTCGCGCGGCCAAATTATCTCCTCTCGGAAGAGACGTTCTCGTCCGTTTCCGTCGGCGAGCCCTTTTTCTTGAGGTTTCCGAGGAATCGACGATTCCGCTACCGGGACGAATCTTCGGGGGCGTTTTTGCGAAAGAAGAAAAACCTCGGAATGCCCGGCTCGGGCTGTTTAAAGCGCGTGGGCGAGCAGTAACCTATCCGGTTTCGAGTTCGTTCGGGACTCTCCGCGCGGTGAAACCGAAGCCAAAGAGTGCCTCTTGGGTTTCACGGTGGGACCGGAGTGAAGCGAGGTTAGGTTACCCGAGGTAACACGCGACACTTCACGCACTAAGTAGCTACACGGTCTGTTTCCCCCCGTCCCGCCGAGCGACCTTCCCCTCGCGCTTCGGCCCGCTCGGTTTCTCGCCACCGTTACACCTTGGACGATTTTCCTCCAACCTTGGAGTCGTAACTCATCGTCAGGTGTTGCGGGTCGTCCTCTTCGGTAGCGGATCCCCGAGTGGGGCGGAAATCGCGAAAGGAGGTCCACCCTCCAATCGGAGCGGCAGAGATCGATCCGCAACGGTGTACAAAGTTAACGTATCGCGTTTCCCCGTACATAAGGTTCTCCCTTACTTGGCGTCGGTCAGGGTTGGTGATCAACGAGCCGTGCTCGCCCCTTTCCCTTTCTCGTCCGAAAAAAAAAAATGAAATAAAATATTTCGACTCACCTCTCGGGGGTGGAAAAATTTCTGTATACCGCCGGGAAAGGGTTTCGAGTCGGACGTCGATCCGACGTGAGACCAGGCGAGACCGGGCTGACCATTGTGCATAAAACAGTGCTCGGTGCATATTGTACGAGAGTCGAGCCGCCCCGAAGAGCCTCTCGCTCTCCGGGTGCATATGCACATGCCCGCGAAGACTCGCTCTCTCTACGTTACGTACGCACGCGAAGCACCCGAGGAGTCTCCCTCTCTTTCTCTCCGTATGCGTATGCACCCGCGTAAGTATCGAGCGGTGCAGGCCGCCGGTCGAGTGCTCGGGAATAATACAATAAAGCCCGATCGTTGCCAGCACGTGGCAGCGTGCATACAGCGATTACGCACATATGCGCGGATCCATTATTGCACACGCGAGGCGCATTGATTTATTCATTACGCGGTTTAAATGACCGGCCCAACGTGGGCGAGGGGCGAAACGAAGGCGGGACAGATTTTCTGCGGGGAAACCGCGCCGATTAATCGTTAAGTCCCTAAATCATCCCGCGCGAATCGTAACGCGGAATTCCCCCGAGTCGCGGAGATTTTGCAATTTTTTTTTCGAGGTGGCGGGGGGGAAGGAGGAGGGCTCCCTCGAAATATGAAAATCGATTTTAATCAACGCTTAATGGGAAATATGATAGCAAAGTGGCCGCGGGAGGTGGGGCGAAGCCCTTCGGTTTGTTCTTGGGTAAGCCGCTTACGATAAGCCGCTTATCTCTCGGAGTTACCGCGAATGGACTCCTCCTCGAGAGAGATTCGTCCTTCCGTTTCGGCAGGTCGCCTCGTTAAATTGGCCGCATCCCCTGGAGATCGCGAAATCGCCTCCTCGACTAGGAGGAACGCTAATTACCGAGTGATAAAAATTCCCGTGGAAAATAATCCTGCGATCCCTCGCGACAATTCCGATGACGCTCGGTACCTCGGTACCCACGGGTCTATGTACGCAAACTGACCCGGATCGTACCTGGCCAAGGCCGATCTCGCGGTTTCGCGATTTCCGTCCAAGGCCTCCGGGGGTGATCGCGTTTCGCAAAATGGC